CTCTTCTCTTCTCTTCTCTTCTCTTCTCTTCTCTTCTCTTCTCTTCTCTTCTCTTCTCTTCTCTTCTCTTCTCTTCTCTTCTCTTCTCTTCTCTTCTCTTCTCTTCTCTTCTCTTCTCTTCTCTTCTCTTCTCTTCTCTTCTCTTCTCTTCTCTTCTCTTCTCTTCTCTTCTCTTCTCTTCTCTTCTCTTCTCTTCTCTTCTCTTCTCTTCTCTTCTCTTCTCTTCTCTTCTCTTCTCTTCTCTTCTCTTCTCTTCTCTTCTCTTCTCTTCTCTTCTCTTCTCTTCTCTTCTCTTCTCTTCTCTTCTCTTCTCTTCTCTTCTCTTCTCTTCTCTTCTCTTCTCTTCTCTTCTCTTCTCTTCTCTTCTCTCTCCTCTCCTCTCCTCTCCTCTCCTCTCCTCTCCTCTCCTCTCCTCTCCTCTCCTCTCCTCTCCTCTCCTCTCCTCTCCTCTCCTCTCCTCTCCTCTCCTCTCCTCTCCTCTCCTCTCCTCTCCTCTCCTCTCCTCTCCTCTCCTCTCCTCTCTCTCCCTCTGAGCAAATTTTATAGAATTGAAAACAAACCAGGGAAATATTTTCTGTTGGTTTCATTCTTCTAACACCTACACTTGCATCCAAATTTGCCCTGACAGGGACCATTTATCAGTGTAAACATGCGAGTTCAAAAGGGAGAGCGAAGGAGGCTTTGCGTGCAGGATGGGACAGTGCAGCTTCATCCCATCAACACCCATTAACACCCCCACAAAGTGCTTCACTCAGGAGCCTCCGGTTTCCTCTATGGGGAAAATACCCCTTTTGGGGGATGCTGGGGACATTGCTGACCTGCAAACAGGCTTTGGGATCCCTCAGTAAAACAGCCATTAAAATAAAGGGGAGAGGAGGAGGGCAAGACCCCAGGAATGACAGCCAAGAGCCTTTTTACCGTCCCTACAGGAACAATTTCCTACGGCCCGTCCCTCAGAAGGGGCTACAGCTCACCACCACGGGGCTCATATCCCCAGAGCACATCTTGCAAATGCTCCCTCACCCCGCGGCTGTGCGGTCTGGGGAGGAATTCAGTAAACCAGCAACAGGACTGGGAGGAGAAAAGAACCCAGCTCAGCTCCCAGGAGCCAAAAGCTCGCCAGCGGGGTTGGGTTTTGGCATCACTGGCTGGAGAGGAAGGAGCATCGCGCTGGGTTTTGGGTCATCCCATGGGGAGGATGCTGCAGAGCTGCTCAGGGGCCAAAAAAAGGCATCCCAGGTACCAGGCTGGATGTTTGCCTTGCTGTAGAGACCCATGGGGGTTGAAAACACCCCTCTCCATCCCAAACTCGCTGTGAATTAAAGGTTATTGTAATTTAACAGCTCAGGTCTCGGGGGACAAGGCCATGCTCCCTCAGCTCCAGGTTTCCCAGCTCAATCCGGACTCATTTCCCGGGAAGCCACCTCAGTGCAGACAAGGGATGTTGTGTTTCCAGAGGAATAAATGAGGCTGAATTTTGGGAAGGACACATCCATCCCGGGCTGGAGACACTTTCATGAGCACCCTTATGAACAAAGGTTTCCAAAGGAGAAGGTAGCAGATGTCTTTCTCTTTTATCTTTCTCCTTCCCTCACCCAGCTCCTCTGGGAGTTTTTCCCTGCCCCGGGAATGCGCTGTGGCCAGGGATGCTCCCAGGGATGAGGGATGAGGGGGTGGTTGGGGGGGTCACGATTCGTATGTTTACATGGAAGAGACTGAAAAGCAAGAGGTGATGGTGGCCATGAAACAGGGAAAGGGGAAAAGGAAGGGGAAAAGGAAGGGGAGAGGGAAGGGGAGAGGGAAGGGAAGGGAAGGGAAGGGAAGGGAAGGGAAGGGAAGGGAAGGGAAGGGAAGGGAAGGGAAGGGAAGGGAAGGGAAGGGAAGGGAAGGGAAGGGAAGGGAAGGGAAGGGAAGGGAAGGGAAGGGAAGGGAAGGGAAGGGAAGGGAAGGGAAGGGAAGGGAAGGGAAGGGAAGGGAAGGGAAGGGAAGGATGAGGGGAAGGGAAGGATGAGGGGAAGGAAGAAGGACTCATATTCTAAATAAATACCCACAATTTCTTTCTTTCCTCAGTTTCCCCTAAATTGCCTCTTTTACCCATCCTCCCCCCAATGTTCCTTTCCTGCACAAACTTCTTTAGCTTCTTGACTTTAAATGCAAATTTCACAGGACTTTCTGCTCCGCTCTTCTCTCCTCCCATGCCAGGATGCTCTGAGCTGGACTACTCCCACCAGCACCAGGGCTTCAAAACACTCGCTGAAATATATATATATATATATATATATATATTTTTTTTTTTCCCCCAATTTCTGCCCCTGCGTGCCTCACAATGTGAGAAAATGACTCAATTTTTCACAATGCCACTAATGCCTTTTGGTTGGGGAGGGCTGAGGTGCGCTGGGTGCAGCGACCTGAGAGCAGGGGGGTACCGCAGGGGTATTTCAGTAGCTTTTTGGGTGCTTGTGCCGGTGCCACGCGGATGTGGGTGGGTGCTGCACTGACATGGAGCGTTTCTGACGATGATGGGAATCCTGTGGGATCCCAGCATGGCCTGGGCTGCGGGCTGGGATGTGCTGGGCACGCAGGCAGCTGCCTCCAAATCCCTCCTGGGCTGGGCCTGCAGATTTAATGGCATTTAAATAAACAGGTGGGGTTTGGATTTGCTTTGGAACAGTTGTAAGGGGAAAGGAGCGGGATCCCAGTAATGTCCTGGCCCTGTGAAAGGGGGAGGTGATCCAGGATGGAGAGGGATCCAGGACAGAGGGGAGGCCAGGATGGAATGTGATCCAGAATGGAGGGAGATCCAGGACAGAGGGGGATGCAGGATGGAGGGGGTTCCAGGAGAGATGGAGATCCTGGTCAGATGCAAATCCAGGACAGACAGGGATCAAGGATGGATAAGGATCCAGAACAGATGGGGATCCAGGAGGGATGAGCATCCAGGATGGAGAGGGATTAAGGATGGAGGAGGATCCAGGACAGACAGGGATCCAGCACAGCTGGAGATGGGGGGTGGATGGGATCCAGAACGGGGGATGATCCAGGGTGGAGGGGACGGCCAGCGCTGGGGACAGAGGAGCTGACTGAGAGGCGGGTGCCTGGGGACAGTCCGGGGGAAGCAGGAGGGGGCTGGTGCTGGGGGGACCCTTCTTGGTGGCAGTTCTGTGCTCCCCAAAGGGGTGCTGGGTCTGGGGGTGCAGGATCCCTCTTGGGGGAGCAAGACCCACCCCCCCCCATGGGAGGTGCAGGTTTCAGGGGTGCTGGACCCCTCTCCCAGGGTGCAGGTTTGCCTGGGGAAACACGCTCCGTCGGGCCCGGGTGCTGCCGGGTGTCTCGTGGGAGCAGGAAGCCGGGGTGCGGCGGGTGCCACCCAACAACCGCTCCCGTCCAAAGTTGAGCGGCGAGAGGAGGCGGCAGCACCCGGCCCTGCCCGGCCCGGGGGGGTCCAGCACCTCCGTGGGGTGAGTGGCTTCCTCAGGGCTGGGAACTGGGGAGTCCTGGGCTATGGGGTGCCCCCAGCCCCACCCCGGGTTGGGGTGGCAAGCGCGGTGGGGTGTGGGCAAGCACCTTGAGCTGAGGCCGGTTTTGCTTGTCCGAGGACACAGCTGGGGAAACTGAGGCAGGGCAGGCTGGCAGCAGGTTGGAGGGCTCAGCGATGCGGGACGTCACCGGTGCCTGGTCCCGGCGTGCGCCCCAGGGCTGGCAGATCAGCTAGAGGAGGAAGACGCCTGCAGCATCCACGAGGAATAAATCCCTAATTAACCTTGTTCTAGAGGCAAAAGCACCGCCGGGCCGTGGCCTGACTTCACACCCAGCTGGGGGGTGATTTGGCCGTGGAGCTGCGGGACTGTGGGGTCCCCGAACCCCGACGTGGCTCCGGGGGCCGGGATGCCGTGCCGGGAAGGCTGAGTCACAGCCGGCGGAGCGGGCTCAGCCTGTTCAGCGTTTCGGTTTGCCAGGTTCTCGCTTACAAAGCTGGGCTTGCCCGGGGAGCTCGGCTCACCCCAGGTTTTAAGCAGGGGGGGCTTGGGTGGGGGAAAGGTCCAGGGGATTTTTTGGGGAGAGGCTGGCAATGTGTTTTCTCAAGGAGGGGGGTGGCCTCCCTGTGCTCGGTGCAGGTTTAGGGGCACCCCGGTGAGGATGCCCAGTGCAGTGGCATCACCCCACATTCCCTGGCACCACCCCCCATGTCCCAGTATCACCCCCCCCATACCCCAGCATCAACCCCCATACCCCAGCATCAACCCCCATTCCCCAGCATCAACCCCCCATGCCCCAGTATCACCCCCCCATGTGCCAGCATCACCCCTCATGCCCCAGTATCAATCCCCCGTACCCCAGTATCACCCCCTCCATTCCCCAGTATCACCCCCCCATGCCCCAGCATCACCCCCTATGCCCCAGTATCTCACCCCCTGTGCCCCAGTATCACCCCCCATTCCCCAGTATCACCCCCCCATTCCCCAGTATCACCCCCCATTCCCCAGTATCACCCCCCCCATTCCCCAGTATCACCCCCCATTCCCCAGTATCACCCCCCATTCCCCAGTATCACCCCCTGTGCCCCAGTATCAGCCCCCCATGCCCCAGCTGTTTTTGCCACCCACTGCCCGTCACCACAGAGGCGAGTGGCCACCAAGTAGCCGGGATGGGGATGGGGTACGACACCCCCCCCCCCAGACCCTGCTGGGGAGGGGGGGCTGTGGGTGCCAGTGCCACGCACTTCTTCACCACAGGGAGCTTTCCTGCGCTCCCCATCACCCCAAAATCCTCTGCCCCCTGCGAAGGGAGAGCAGGGTGGGACAATGCCGGGCATCCCGCTGGGATGAAGGGATGGGGAGGGATCCCTGGAAAAATTCCTCCTGATATTAAAGGCAGAATGGGAACCTCCCCTTCAGCACCCCCAACCAGCCTCCTTCACCCCGTTATTACCCCAATTCCCCTCCGCCGGCCTGACCCGGGGCTCATCTCTCCCCCAGCTCTGCCTCCCCCCCCCGGGCTCGATGGCTCCGGTGCTGGCAGAGGGCTCGGTGGCCCTGGCTACCGCGGTGGCCTGGGGCTCGGCCACCACCGGCCTCTTGCTGCTGCTCCTGCTCCTCTTCTGCTCCTTCTCCCACAGGTACGTTCGCTTATGGGGGTAAAAGGAAGGATTGGAGTTCTTCCCGAGGGTTTGCCACGGAGATCGTGGGCTCCGGGGAAATGCCGTGGGTGGGGAGGTGGGGTCAGCGTGGGATGGGGAGCGGGGAGCTCCGCGCCGGAGGGCGCTCTGGGTGCGAGGAACCTGCGTGGGGTCAAGCGGAGAGGGGGCGAGCAGGTGAATAAACGGAAAACAGCAGCGAGAGGAGGAGACGGGGGCGGGGGGGGGGGGGGGGACACACGGGGGGGCTCATGTGTCACCTCTGAGCCCACCCTGACCCGAGCATCCCTGGGGACGCGGCTCCGCTGACCTCCCCCTTCTTGCTCCGCAGGGCGAGCCGGCGGTTTTCCACCCAGAAAATCAAAGAAAAATCTGGGCTGGTCCGAGGGGTGAGTCCCCCCGGGGTCCCCACCCGTGTCCTCGCGGGGCCACCAACGGCTGCTGGCCCCCGGTGGAGGGCGAGGCGGTGGGTTGGGGGGACCTGGGGCCTGTCCCCACATGTCCCCTGTCCCCCCCCCGTCCCCCCCCCACCCCCGCATCCTGCGTGCTTTGACAGCCCTCCAGCGTCAGCGCGGGGGAACGTCCCTCTTCTCGCCCCAAATTCACCCCGAATGGCTAAGTTGGTGTGTGTGTCCCCCCAAAAAATAAAGCGTCACAATTAAGGGGAGGGGGGGATTGGGATGGGGAGGGGGGACAGAGGGTGGCCCTGGGCACGTGTGACCCCGTGGGTGCCCCACCCCGGGGTTTTCAGGGGATGTGGGTGAGCAGAGGGGATGTGGTTGCCCCCCCCCCCGGAGCTGTGGGGTTGTTTGGGGTCAGTCGGGGCTGGTGGGGGCCGGTTGGAGAGGGCAACCGGCCCCCCCCCCCAAAATCCTGTGTCCCCCCTGAGCACACACCCCCCCCAACACCCGTTCTGCTGGCACAAGGGCTGGGGGGGGTGACACGAGTGCCTGGGGGGGTGCACAAGTCCTGGGAGGATGATGCACAAGTGCTGGGGGGGGGTAAAAGTGCTGGGGGGGGGGGAGCACAAGGGTCCAGGGTGGATGAATGAGTGCTGGGGAGGCAGCGGGGGGGCATCAGTGCTTTGGTAATACACAAGTGACAGCAGGGGAGGATGCAAAAGCACTGGGGGGGGGATGCACAAATGCTGGGGGGGGGGATGCAGAAGTGCTGGGGGGGTGCACAAGCTCCCAGGGGGGGATGCAGAATTGCCAGGGTGGATACGAGTGCTGGGGGGAGGGAGGGATGTAAAAGTTCGGGGGGGGTGGGATGCATGAGTACAGGGAGGGGGATGGATGAGTGTTGGGGGGGATGGATGAGTGCTGGGGGGGATGCATGAATATTGCGGGGATGCATGAGTGCTGGGGGGGTGGGGGGATGCACAACAGCCCGGGGGGGGGGATGCACGAGTGAGCAGAGAGGATGCACAAGTGCCCAGGGAGGTGCACGAGTGCTCGGGGAGCGGCGGGCGGGGGGGGGGGGGGGGCTGCATGAGTGCTGGGACTGGGGGTTCACAAGTGCTGAGGGGGAAGCAGAAGTGCCGGGGGGGGGTGCATGGGTGTCGGGGTTGGGGGCGGGGGGAGGCTGCACAAGTACTGGGGAGGGGGATCTACATGAATGCCCGGGGGGATGAACAATTTCGGGGGCGGGGAATGCAAAAATATCAGGGGGATGCACAGCTGCCCCGGGGGGCGTGTGGATACAGGAGTGCCCGGGGAGGTGCACAAGTGCTGGGGGGGTGCACACAATTTCTGGGGAGGATGTAGGAGTGTCCAGGGAGGGGGATACAGGTGTAGCTGGGGCGCGGGGGGGGATGCACGAGTGCCGGGGGGGGCTAATACATAAGCACCCACTTATTCCCGTTGCAGGTGAAGCTGGTGAGGCTGGGCTCCGGCGGCGGGGGAGCAGCACGGCCGGGAGGTGGGTCACAACGGGGGGGGGGGACACACACACATACACACACACACACTGGTTGTGTCCCTCTGCCACCCCCGGCCCCGCCGCCGCGGGTGCTCCCGGGGCCCCTCGCACACGCAGGGATGTGGGTGCCGGGTGCCACTTGCCAGGGCCCTTCCCCGGTGTGGGGTGCAGCGGGATGGGACACACACCCCCCCCCCCCAAAACACCCACGCACACCCCGGGGTGCTGGCTGTGCCCCGGGGAAGGGCCACGCTGGTGGAAGGGAGCCGGGCGCCGCGGGCCGAAGGTCCCCGGGGACTCGTCCAACCCAACCCCGTTAATGATTTGCCCGACCCATGAACTCGGAGAAGCTCAGGGGCTCGGCGGGACTTTGAGCCGGCCCTCGGGCAGACGTGGGGGGTTATTTCCCCCCACCTTCACCCCCCCCCCCCCCCCCCCCCCCGCAAGTTGGGGTCACGGCAGCCAAAATGGGATAAATCAGCGCAGTTCGTTAAGCAGCTACTTGCAGTCCCCCGGCACGGAGAAGAGGACGGGGGACACCCCGCGGCCACGGTGAAGGGGCTCGCTGTGTCCAAAATCAGCTCCTAAAATTCCCAGTTACAGCAAAACAGCCCAGTGAAACCTGCTGCGGGGCCCAGTCCCTCCAGCAGGACAGTGTCGGCTGCTTTCAAATACCCGCTGGCCTGCCCCGTGCCAGGAGAAAGGGAATTGCCTGGGGAAAGCTTTAAAAAAGATATTTTAATGCTCCAAACCTTCCCGACGGATTAAGCATTCAGCCCGTTTGCTTTTCCACGGAGCTGGGAACAAGTTTCTCGCCCCGTTTTACGCCAGGAACACGTTATTTAGCACCGCTGGATAACGAAGCGAATTAAACGCCGCGTATTAATTTCCCCTTTTTGCCGCGCTGTGGCTGAGCTTCGAGCTGCTCAAGAGAAATCCCTGCTCCTCCTTGTGCTGCGGCGGGGAACACCTGAGTATTTTATGGGGTGGCCCCACCAGCCTGGCCCCAAGCACCCCGTTTCTGGGGCTCCCCCGGGTGCGTTTCCCCCCCCCCCTCTCAGCGAGGCACCCCTCACTCTCTCCTGCTTTTCTGTAGAGGGACGGGGAAAGGACACCCCAAAAGCGAAGCCTTGGTCCCTTGGGGTGCGCAGGCGGGATGCTGGGGTGCACCACGGTGCTCTTGCTGGGGTACTCACATCAGGGGGGGCTCACACTGGGTGCCCGTGTTGGGGTGCTCATATTGGGGTGCCCACAGTGGGTGCTCATGTTGGGGTGCTTACATTGGGGTGCTCGTGTTGGGGTGCACACACCAGGGGTGCTCACGTTGGGGGTGCTCACTTTGGGGTGCTCATGCTGGGATGCCAACAGAGCATTCATGCTGGGGTGTTCATGTTGGGGTGCTCATGTTGGGGTGCTCATGCTGTGATGCTCACATAGGGGGTGCTCACACAGGGGGTGCTCACACTGGGGTGCTCGTGCTGGGGTGCTCAGGTTGGGATGTTTGCTTTGGGGTGCTCATGTTGGGGTGACCATGTTGGGGTGCTCATGCTGGGGTGCTCATGTTGGGCTGCTCATGTTGGGGTGACCGTATTGGGGTGCTCATGCTGGGGTGCTCACACAGGGGGTGCTCATGCTGGGATGCGCACACTGGGATGCTAACAGAGCACTCATGTTGGGGTGCTCGTGCTGGGGTGCTCATGTTGGGATGTTTGCTTTGGGGTGCTCATGTTGGGGTGCTCACGCTGGGGTGCTCACACAGGGGGTGCTCACATTGGGATGCTCATGTTGGGGTGCTCACACAGGGGGTGCTCACATTGGGATGCTCATGTTGGGGTGCTCACACCGGGGTGCTCACACTGGGGTGCTCACAGCCAGAGGCTGCTTTCTGCCAGGACAGAGCTGGTGGGGGGTGAGGAGGCTGCGCTTTTCCCGAGGGGCTCCAGCCTGGATTGGGGGGGGGAGCACCCAGCATCCTGCACCCCAAATCCCACAGGACCACCATATCCCTGCATATTTAAAGCAGAAGGCGAAACACCCAGTTACGCAGCTTTTCCAGAGTCTCCTTTGCTTTCGGAGCGAACAAACTGGCTCGGTGTCCTGCTCCACCAGCTCCCTGTGTTGACAGATCTCGCACGCAGAGCAGAGCCTCCTACTTAAATAAATATTTGACCGAAGGGGAAGGCGGGTGGCAGGTCCTGACACCGCGCTGGTCCCGCAGTGGGGAGCACAAATCCCCCTGCCAGCAACCCGGGGATGCTGGCCCTGGTTTTGCTTCGCTTTTTATTATCTTTTTCACCAAAAGCTGGGGGAGCAGGACCCGGTGCTACTTTACCTTTACATTAGGCTGGAATGGTGCTGGGGGTACCCTCCCCAGCTCAGCATCTCTTCTCCCCCCTCCCTGCAGGCACCCCCTCTCCCGGTGAGCCCCAGCAGCAGGAAGACAGCCCCACGGTGCCGGGGGACCCAGATAATCCCGCTGCGGGGGATCCTGAGCTGCACATGCTGGGCTGGACACCCCGTTCCCACGTACTCTCCAGCCCGACCCCAAGGGCCCCCGAGTTTCTGCGGCACCGGCAGCTGCCGGTTGTACCCGGGGGTGCCGGCACACCCGCAGCGGACACTGTGCCGGATGCCGAGGGACCCATCTATGAAAGTATCCGGTACAAATCTGGGACGCTGGCAAAGCCTTGGGGTGGTGGCAGCACCCCGGGGGACTCCCCACCCCAGCCCGCCGGGGATGAGCTGAGCATCCCCGTGCAGATCATCGCCCAGGAGGAGCCGGGCAGCGAGGGGAACCCCGACCCCGTGTACGCTCGGGTGTGCAAACCGCCCCGGGCGCCACAGCCCCGGCAGCCCACCGGCCCCGCCGAACCCCAAGAAGAAGCATCTCCATCGGTACCAGAAAAACGCTTCGATGTGGCATAGGATGCCCCGGAGATGTTTTGGAGCTGCCTCAAGCCCAGGCGGTTCGTGCAAGTTTGATGGAGGGTTTTCCCGGCTGCGGGCAGGCACGGGCAGCGGCCATGGAGAGCAGCTCCCTCCCTTCCCAGCTCGAAAATTAAATGTAGGTGGCCCGGGTCATCCCACAGCATCCAGCATGGGGGTCCCTGAGTGTCCCTCTGGGACTTCCCCATTGCTTGGGGGGCCTGTGGGGAGTTGGGGTCACTCCCACGTGGGCTTGGCCAAAGAAAAAAAATGCAGAAGAAAAACGCGTGATTATTTTTTGGAGACGCTCCCCCCCCCCAAAAAAAAAAAGCAAAAACTTTCTTCCACGCATCATCCAGCTCAGATCCCCTGGGAAAAACCACCTGTAGGAAGGTCTTGCTTCCTGGGAGCAAGAGTTTATGGATGGAGAACTGTGTAAATAGTCCTTAATGGCTATTTTAATCATTTTTCATGAGTGTGCTGTGCTCTGCTTCATCCCCGAGGCCGTTTGGATGGGCTCTGCTGGGGGGACGAGTATCCCGCGGCCGGGGCTAAGGCAGGGGTGGGGACAGTGGCCACATTTCGCCGGATCCGAGGTGTGGGCTGGCCTGATAGAGTGATGGGACTCAGCTTATCTGCTCCCCAAAATGCTGACGGGGCCCCGGGAAGGGTTGGAGGGCAGCGTATAATGGGAGCAGCGGTTATGTGGCGTGTGCGAGATAACGCTGTTGTGCCCGTGCCGGGGGTGGCCCTGGATCTCCGCTACCGCTGCAACCCCCCACCAGCCCCAGGCAGCTCCGTGGGGACCTGCACGGCCCCATCTCCCCCCTCTTCCTCGCTTTCCATCGCCTCCCCTTTGCCCGTTGATGGTGGCCACCAGCGGATGCCCAGCCCAAAGCGGGCAGAGCCGCGGAGACCCATCGTCCCCCGTCCCACCACCGCGGCAGGAGGGTCTGGCTGCTCCCATCTCCCAGCTCGCCATCCCAGCAGCCGTCTCATCCTCTCCTCCCTCCTTCTCTCATCACATCAACCTCCAAAGCAGCCTGGGCTGCAACCCCAAGCTCTTCTCCTTCTCCCCTTTTTTGCTCTGCGTCCTGGTAAAACACCCAGGCGGGGCCCATCGGGACGTGGCATCGTGCTCCCAGACCCACCTCGCCGGGCTTTGCTTCTCCCCTCCTGCATCCACCCCCGCTGCTACCGATGCTGGTGGCCGACGTGCCGCGGGCCACAGCGGAGATGCCAGGGAGGAGACTTAGCTGCTACGCAGTGGCTCTACTGGGGCTGAGTCAGAGAGAATTTTAAGAAAGGGATTTCATTTTAAAGGGACAAAAAAAAAAAACAAAAAAAAAAACAAACAAAAAAAAAACACCAAAAAAATAATAATAAAAAAAAGGCTGTGACGTTATTCCTGGCTCAGGAGCTGGGGATATTTCTATTTTCACTCTCTGAAGTGTGGTGCTGCAAGCGGCGGGGTGAGTCATCTGGGCACGGCCCCGGCACGCCGGGTCCGGCACGGCCGCGCTCGGGGAGGCGAGGGTTGGGTGGCCGGAGCCACGGCGAGTCGGAGGGTTCTGCTCACCTGGGTCTCCCCCCGGCCCCGCAGACCCACCGCCCCCTTCGAGGCACCGGCTGGCGTGGGGAGAGGGAGGTGCTGCGGCTCGGGGGGCGACAGATCACTGACCCCCCGGCATGGCTGGGGCTGGAAGGGTCTATATGCTCACCTGACTTCCTATACACTCAGCCACCTTCCTGCACACTCGCCTGCCTTCCTATATGCTCATATCTCCTCCTATATGCTCATATCTCCTCCTATATGCTCAACCTGCCTTCCTATACACTCGCCTGCCTCAACATACATCCACCTTCTTACACTCACCTGCCTCTCCATATGCTCATCTGCCTCCTTAGACATTCATCTGACCTATACATTCACCTGCCTTCCTATACACTCATCCACCTTCCTACACATTCATCTGCCTTCCTATACACTCACCTGCCTCTCCATATGCTCTTCTGCCTTCCTAGACATTCATCTGACCTCCTATGCACTCACCTGCCTGCCTTATACACTCATCCATCTTTCTACACACTCATCTACCTTCCTATATGCTCACCTGCCTTCCTATATGCTCATCAACTTTCCTGTATGCTCACCTGCCTTCCTATATGCCTATCTGCCTCCCTACACACTCATCTGCCTTCCTATATGTTTACCTGCCTTCGGATATGCCCATTCACCTTCCTATACACTCACCTGCCTTCCTATACACTCATCCACCTTCCTACACACTCACCTGCCTTCCTATATGCTCATATCTCTTCCTATATGCTCAGCCTGCCTTCCTATACACTCATCTGCCTCTCCATATGCTCAGCTGCCTTTCTATATGCTTGTCTGCCTTCCTAGACATTCATCTGACCTCCTATACATTCACCCGCTTTCCTATACACTCATCCACCTTCCTACACACTCATCTGCCTTCCCATATGCTCTTCTGCCTTCCTAGACATTCATCCGACCTCCTATACACTCACCTGCCTGCCTTATACACTCATCCACCTTCCTGCATGCTCATCTACCTTCCTATACGTTCACCTGCCTTCCTATCCATAGGTGCTGCCGGTAGCATCCCCCGCCGAGCTGGAGCAGCGTGTCCGTGGGAAGCAGCGGGGCAGGCGCGTGGCCGTGTCCCGCTTCACACCACCTGCAACCCTGGATAGAAACATCAAAAATAGAGATTAGAGGGAAAAAAAAAACAAAAAAACAAAAAAACAACAAAACAACAAGTGTCTTCCCCAGCAGGTTTTGCTTCTCACAGCTGTGCTGTCACCTGCAGCACCCGTCCTGCTGCATCCCGGCGCAGCCAGAAAGGAGAGAGGTGACAGCTCACTGTCCCGTGAGGGGTGTGTGTGGGCTGGAATTGCTTGAAATGCCCCTAAAAGAGATGAAGTCTGGTGCTGCTGGTGGAAATCCATGGGAAACACAGCAAAAAAAAAAACAAAACCAAAAAAAAAAAAAACAAAGGAGGGCCAAGAGGATGCATAAAAGCCCCTGGGTGCTGCCCTGGTGTTGGGCTGGGCCTGGCTCCAATCCCCTTGCGCCTGCGTTGCTGCAAGTAATTTTAGCAGCATAAAGGGAAAACACTAAATTTTTAGGAGGGTGACACATGAAAGTTTGAAAAGACTGAAGATTTTGATTCGAGGCTGGCTTGCCCCGGCTATCTCAGGAGGGGTGTGTTGGCACATTCCCTGTTCCTTAATAAATATTAACCCATCGGTTGATTTGCACTGGGATGGAGATTTAACACTAACGACGTCTTTACAGGTGTCATAAAAATAAAGGAGTGGGGTTGGAACATTTCCAAGCTCGCCCATCAATCAGAAGGGTGAGTCTTTGACAGAGGCTTCCTTTCATCCAGTTTCAACAGAATTATTCAGTTCTATCTAAAAGAGGAGTCTTTGCTTCTCTGGACACTGTTGGAGTTGTCCTTCAAGCCCCAGAGAAGGGGGTGGTGATGTTCCTGGTCCATAGTTGAATGAGGATGGGAAATAACTCAGGATTTTCCTTCTCCACTGGAAAAGGAGGAGGTCAACCTTCTCTCTCTGGCCAAGCAAAGCATCTTTCATTAAAAAAAAAAAAAAAAAAAAAAAAAAAGAAGTAATACGTTAATTAAGTGAAAAACAAGCAGAAAGAGATCAAACCGACCAACTCCTACCTCCTTTCTTACCATCTTTCTGCATCCTAGAATTCCCAGATTAGGGCGAAATTGCCACCTCCAGCAGCTGGAGCACGTTGACGTGTGCTGCAAGATGGGTACAAGAGGATGGACGTCCAAGAAGGTGACGAGATGCTGCAGGGGGTCGGTGACCCACTGCCACACCCGGGCGCGGAGGGAAGACCCTGCAGATGCAAAAAAGCAGGCAGGTTCTGAAATATTCACAATATTTCACAAATATCGTGGCCGGGAGGCGCGTTGCAGTAGGACAGGCTGGTTGCAAAGAGAGGTGGCACTGGCTGGTGGCGGAAAGCCCTGGGGTGATCAGGAGGCCATCCCGAAACGCCGGCATCCTGTTCGCGGGGAGCAGCTCGCTGGAAAAACAAACAGCGACAGGCAACCTGTCAGGCAGGTGTTAGGGGGTTCCTTTACCCGCCGCTCAAAGGACAGGCCAGTTAATTATTAATTTTCTATTTTAAATGAAGCAGAGTGAAAGAAGGAGGCTTGGCTGGGTGAGAAGCTTGGGGCTGCGGGGAAGGGCAGGTTGAGATCGACACGGGCAGGCCCAAAAAAAAAAAAGTCAGTGATCCTAGAAACCTGCTCGGGGAGCAGCACCGAGATCTCATCTGCTGTCAGCAAGCCCCAGGAGAGGACAAATCCTGCCCGTGCCGTGTGTGTGTCCAGCCAGAGGCCTCCAGCCCCTCTCCCCTAGCTCAGATGGAAGATCTCCGTAGGGTGCTCCCAGCCCTGGGACCTTTTGGATGGGAGGAGATCCAGGACAGAACAAGCCTTTGCTGACATCCCCCATGAAGGGTCTTGAAGCCTTCAGCAACCCACAGGTCGGTAACTTTGGGAGCTAGAGGTGACGTCTTTCTATTTCAGAGCCCTTGGTGGACCTTTCTTCCATCTGTCTGTCCTGCGAGTTTCTGGAGCCGTGCGAACCTTTAGCACCCAGAGCATCCGGCGGCAAGGAACCTCTCAGCTCCACAGGGGACTGAGATGAAAGGCTCCACGTGGTTTTGAACTTGTAAACCAGCTTCACTCATTATCCCGTTTAGTAAAAGAAAATTCACTGTTTCCGAGCCACTCGCCATCTTACAGACCCCTGTCACACTCCTCCTTGGTCTCCTTCCTCCTCACCAGCTAGTTTGTGCAGATTACAGTTTCCCCCTTATATCAGACTGATACAGCTTTTTTTTTTTCCAGAGAAGCTCCTCCACACTTCTGTCTTCATCACGTTCTCCAAGCAAGAGAGTTTTCCCCAAAACCACCCACTGAGCTGCAGTGGAGAAGCTCCAGTTTGTGCGCGGTGGTCTGAGCCACGGTGAAGAGTCAGACTCCGTAGCGTGAGCGCCCCGGCCTTTTTCCTAGGAGCTCCATATCTCACCAACTTGGTTTTACTCAGCTTCCAGAATAAACCAGACGCAAGAAAGAGCCCATGCCCTGTGCGCTTGACTGAGTACTTTGTAGAGACCTGGAGATTTCTGAAACCATGTGGTCCCCAAGGGAAGAGCAGTGCTAGGAGTGAAAGCAGAGAGTTAAAAATGAGCAAGCCAAAGCAAAGGCAGAGGGAAGAAAAAAAAAAAAAAAAAAAAAAAGGCAAACAGGCCAGAGGTTTTTTTTTTTTAAAAAAAAAAAAAGTAGAAGGGCAAAGAGCAGAAAAGGAAACTCGTGAGCTTTCTTCCCCTCTTGGCTTGTCCTTGCTCAGACAGCAAAGAGGAGGGGAGGCTGGAGCCCGCGGGTCTGCTCCTGCAGCCGGGCTTGTCTCCTGGAGAAGTCCCTGCAACTCCAGCCCCGCACAAACCTCTTCCCTGGCAAGAGCAGGAGAGGGGCTGTGAGCTCTCTAATGTATCCGCGTGTTTCTTAAACACCCTTAAGAGGCGTACACCCTCCAAAAAAGCTGGTTATCGCTGGGTTTCAACACTTCCACGAAAGCCAGGAGGTGCAGTGAGTGGCTAAAAGCACCATTTCCTCCAGCGGAACGCGGCTGGGGCGCTTACGCCGCCCGGCAGATTTGGAAATGCAAGTTTTGGGATGAGCTTTTTAACGCAAGAGCGGGCTCCGCTTCCCCGCGGACATCCCAGCAGCCGCCGGGGAAGGAGCCGGGAGCCAAACGACTTTGCTCCCTTCCCCCTTCCCAGCTCCACCGGCAGCTTGTCGAGACGAGCCGGCGCTGGCTGCTGCACGCTTGGCAGCGAGGGAGCGGGGAGCCTTGCCCAGGTTTGGCTGGGCGAGTTCCCCGGATCGTGCGCGGCAGATTTGGGTTAAAATACACCAAATAGGTTGTCCGCTCGTAATCCGGGGAACAAGGAGGCGTCGCGGCGGCGCAGGGACACCGACAACAGGGTGTGTGGGCACAGCCGATCCGCTGTGCCCCGGGGGATGAAGGATAACCAGGCACAGACCCCAACACCACATCACAAAATAATTATATGGTTAAATAAAACGGGAAGAACAAGGAGAGCCCAGGGGTCCCTGGGCCATTTTAAGGTGATTGCTCCCCAAATGAGTTTTTGCTAATGGGGCTCAGATGGTGACCTGCAAGAGAAAAGCCCCCCTGCCCTAGCAGGTGCTGGTTTTGGTGGTTTTGCTTTTACGTGGCCCACCCAGTGCCTGTCAAACACTGTATTTTCAGACTATCAAGGAGCGGTCGCATCGCACTTCCAAAGATTTTCCTACTTGCATTAGAAAAAGCAATTTTTTTAATGTAAGAGTGGGGTGTCTCCACGGGCTTTAGTCACACAGTGCCTGAAAAAAAAGCACCTCACCATTGATTTTTCAGCTAACAGTGACGCATCATGCAAAAAAAAAAATCATTTCCCCACTTTTTCCTCCCTCCCCCAAGAGTTTGATGCATTAAGGAGGGGCTGAGGGCCAACAGCTGGAAGCAAGAGAGAGGCAGTGGAGGCAATCGGGAGATTTGCAACCCAGCCAAGGGCTCTGAAAACCTCTGCCAGCACCCGCCCCTCCTTCCATGGCCCCCTCCAAAAAGCAGGGGGAGAGGAGGAGCAGGCCTGGGGCACCAGCAGCGCTGTTCGGAGTCCACCGCGAGCACGGGCTTCGTTACCGATGTTTACATCGTTCTTTCCTGTTTCCTTTTTTGTATTAAAATTGGAAATCCCGAGCGCAGCCAGGCTGCCCTTGAACGCTCCTCACAAACGTGCCACGAAGCATAAACAGCTGGGGAGCCCTTTATTGCACTATATATGGACAAGGAGCCAAACTCCCTTTTTAATTTTGAAACAATCCCCCACCACCACCACCCAAAAAAAAAAAAAAAGCACACGCTTTCTTTTTCAAACATGCTTACTCCTTGCAGTTTGTTTCATCTGAGAGAGCGCCGCTGAAAAGCATTCCCTACAGACAAAAAGCAGAAGTGCAGCATGGAGCGAGAGTCCGGGGCACCAGTTTCTGCCTTCTGCATTAAATGTTGCAGGCTGCTTTGTTTACAATGTGGAATAGAGCCTGGAGGGTGTTTGGATGGAAGCAAAATTGCAAACGGCTGACTTGAATAACCGGGAATCACGGTCGCGTATCACCGTCTTCGCTGCAACTCAGAAACGACACAGCAGGCGCCGAGAGCTGCAGGACGTGCGTAGGATCAGAGCTTCCTCCGTGGATGCTGACGTGCCAAACCCCACCGCCTCCGCGGAGCTTCCCCGGGTCCCCCTGCTCCTGCGAGACGCTGCGAATAACTGCGCTGCGGAAAGCTTTCCCGACGTCACGTTTCTCTTCGCCATACGCGGCTTTGCGGATAATCTTTTTAAGCCCCTCCCAACGTCCTGCTCAGCGTCCAGGACGCTTCCGCATGGGAGAATTGGCAAAACCGCATTAAAAGAGCGTTAGGATCAGACTACCAGCTTTCGTGTCGGTGACTGGAACAGGCACGTTGCAATAACTGGCTCGCTGAAAAAAAAAAAAATGAAAGAAAAAAAGCTGGGATTATTTCACTTAAAAACAATAAGCATATAAATTATTCTTCGTGGCTACCTACTTCCCTCTTCCCCAGACCAGCCCCCTGACCACACAATGTTTACCGTGGTGGCTCTGGATCTGACTAGGGTTTGTAGCTGCTTGTAAATTCGGGAGGCTTTTCCCCCTCCAGCTTGTTGAGAGCATCGAGCCTGGGAAGGTCATGTAATCTGCTCCCAAGCAGAGGCTGCACCAGCCTGCTGACTCCCGCTCACCACGGCGGGCAAGAATGTCACCTCCTCCCGACAGCCCAATTCAAGCTTTTCCTGTAAGTTGGAAGAAATTATGCTCTGCAAAATAGAGACGAGCAAGGCAGCTGCCCTGAACCCTGGCAGTTGGCTGCTCGCAGGAGACAACGCTCAGCCAACGGCTTCCTCTCGCAGTTCGCGGCTTGCCAGAAGTCGCTGCGGGGAGATGAACCGTTTTGCGCGGTCGCCACGAAAGCCCTCCTACCCCGCAAGAAGTGGTTTTGCAAGCCTCGCTTCAAGAAGGTAATTAATTGCTCACAGAGTGTGAAGTAAGCGAAAAGTCCCGTTGAGACGTGATTAACTTCAAACTGATGGACTCACTCGCGCTCTTAGCACAGTCCTCGGCGTAATTTTGCCGTGGGTCAAGTTGCACGTCTCCAGATAACTCCCAGGCATGGGTGAGGAGTTAGCACGGGCTGTGGATGATTTCTAGGAGAAAGCTGAGATAAAGCGACTCTTCTCCTGGGGCTTTGAGAGTTCAGGAGTGGGGATGCGGCCAGATTTTCTCGGTGGTCCTCAAGGCCTTACTGTTGTTGAAGTCACCAATATCGTTTGTTGCCTCTGAGTCAAAATTGGGAAAAATAAGGGAAACTCTCCCCAATCCAGCTGGCTTTTGTTAAGGCCAGGATTTTAGGTAAATATTCTCCACACATGCACTGATACAGCAGGCCTTCAAGCGTTGCACAAGAACAAGGGGTTGAAGGCAATCAGTTTGCAGGACGTTGCCTCCATTTTAGATGGACACCACATCCCACAGAAGAGGCTCCTCACTGCCAACGGCCAACCGCACAGCACTGACAAGCTCTGCAGGATGAAACACCCCACAAACTGGGGGAGAAGTCTGATTTTGCTACCGGATGGCCCTGACAAGATGCGGCTTCGATAAGTGCCTGCGCCTGGAGTCTGGGAGGGCTTTTAGCTCTTCTTCTGCCGGTCTCATCTGCCAACGCTCGATTTGGGAAGGAGAGCGATGAGCAATGACGGGTCGGTTGACTTATGTAAGTCAGCTCAACTGCAGCTGTCAGGAAGACGAGCTTCTATGTCTCAGGACAAGAAGGGCAGCATCCAAACTCATGGACAATGCTTTTTAGGAAATTTTCATACTTTTCTTCAACTGCACAGTTGATGAAAATTTTCTTAACTTTCTCCTTGTTGCATTTCTTCCTCAAATGTCTTGATCCCATGAGCTGAGGATTTTAACAGCATCACGTTCCAAAGACCGCATGAATTAGCAACTTTGAGACCTGGATTTTCCCAGATCACAGTTTCAGTCCTTTGTGACAGCAATGACGTGCGGGAAAATCTAGTAAAAACCCTCCAGTTTATTTGGTTAATTTGGTATTGGTGGCTTGGCTCTGATTCATCTCCTATCAAAACAAAATTAATGATATTAATAGATTCAAAATGCCAGTTAAGCGGTTTATCCTGAGCTCATGTGTTCAGAAATGAAAAACTCTTGGGGTCGGGGGACAGAGGCCAAAGTGAAATGCCAGGCAGAGCAGTGGGTGGGTAAAACCAAGCCAAACTGCTCAGCATTGTTCAACTCAAACTAACAATTAATATTAATTTAAATTAAAGCTGTGACTAATGGTTATCCAGTGGACATGGGTTTCTTATGTATGACTTTTTTTTTCCATTGTGGTTTTCCCCATTTTAAAATGTTGCACAATTAGTTAAAAAATTGGGTGTGTTGCACACATAGCAATATTGGGAACACTACAAAGAGAAAGAGTAAAAAAAAATCAAAACCAACAGAACTAAACATATCTTAGTTCTTCTTATACAAAACAGGCTAAACCATCGCTAAATATTTTTAATTGTGATTTTTCACTTATGAGTTCATGGAGATTCACCAAAATCCCCTGTCAAATTCTGAGAGACCAAGGCTTCGTGAGATAGGAAAGGAAACCTCTGTTGTAGATAACTGGTTTAAAAATTTTGAGGAACCAAGGGTAGGAATAAACAGTTTCACGTCCATTCCCCAAGGCAGGAGGATAACAGATGGAATCCCTCATGGATCTGGACTAGGCGATCTGTTGTTCAACACATCATTACAAAATCTAACCAGGGAGTGAGTAGTGAGGTGACAACATTTACAGGCAAAATTATCCCAAACAGCCGTGCCTGAAACCAGGGAAAGATCTCATAGCACAATGTGATGAAGAGATACAATGGCAGACATGATTTAATGTCAGCAAGAAACACATCTTGGAAAAATGATGCTAATCATATGTATACAGTCACAGGCTCTAAATCAGCTATTACCTCTCAGGAGTAAAGAAAATTGGGGGTGATTGTTGATAGATGTCCGAGAAGATCGGCTTAACGCTCAGCAGTAGTCAAATCAAATGTTGGCAGCTGTTAGAAAAGAAATAGAAACCAAAATAATAAACATCATTATGCTGATGTATAATTACGTACCACATTTTGACAGCTGAGGCCACCCCATCTCTGATGGTTAATCAGAGGGAGAAGTCAGCTTCTGCGTAAGGGGAGACCAAAAGTCTGCAAAGGACGTGACTGGTGGGGCAGGGAGGGAGAACACGACAGAGCTCCTGAGTCACGAATACTGCAGGGACAACGAAGGAATAATTAGGCAGTAAACACCTAAGACAAAAGCTCAAGACTCTAAAGAAATTCCAGACAAACAAAAGCAAAGAAGTTTTCCGCGTAACTTATCGGCCCCGGTGAAGCTGCAGGGGCAGGATGTGGTGGAGACCAAGCGAATTAAAAGGGTTCAAAAAGGGACTAAAGAAATTAATGGATTAGAGGTGCATTAGTGCTATGAAACATGATGGGCGGATGCTCTCCAGATTAAAAGTGGACTATTAACCACAGAAAAACTACGTGAACCCTACGTGAAAAGATCTCAATGCAAGATTTGAAAGGCTGCTCCCGCGTCACACGCGCTCATCCTCGGTTCTACCACGCTTGCTCACAATCCCAGCAGAGATGCCACAGGGCGTCAACTCCAAATCCAGCCACGAACCTTCTCGTTTTGGGTGTGTGTGTGTGTGTGTCAGGTACAGGGACATATCGATGAGCTTTACGTACCCGTATTGTTCACATTTTATTTTCTTGGTATACAAAGGAATTAGCTGCCCAGGACTGGGATGCTTAAGCAGTGGATCACGCACACATACTGCTCTCACTGTATTATTAAACACTCTTACACTACACCAAGTCTCTGAATCCAGACTATAGACAGGCACCATGAGTACTTATTCTGCTTGGATTTAGCCCTTTCAGCTTACTTGCAGCTAAAATTTAACCTGACATCACCCCCAAACTTTTGATGCTAAAGGTAAAATTAGTGCGATGGGAATCGATAAAGCTGGGATAGAGAGAGGTCACATAACGCCCTAAGGTGAGAATTTTCCACGGGCTTGGAAGAATTTTGCAAGATTTAGGATAGACAGTTGATGGGTGTGACTATTTGTTTAGTCTCACGCATTTATGTCAGGGTTTTTTTTTAATGGGCTGCGAATGATTTTTTAGAACACAGAGGTGAAGAAATGCCTCTGGAAGCAGGACGCATCTGTGCCCGGTGCTGTGGGCATACGGTGCGGCTGGCATCCAGGCTAGGTAAGACACGGCTGACCTGCACCGCACACAGTGCCCGCCGCTCGCCACCCCTTTGCTGCTTGCACTGAAAACAGAGCGAAAACACAAGATGATTTCTCCCAGAGCTTCGACCAAACTTTTCCACCTTTTAATAAAATAAAAGCAACCGCGGTCGCCACACGCCAACCCGAGGCTGAGCCACCACCTCCGATTTCCCCGTTGGCCGGGCTGTCCCCGCCCTGAGGAGCAGCCCACGCCACGCCGTGACTGAAGGCAGGAAGGCGGGAGGGGGGGGCGCACCGGGCCCTCACGGCTCCTCAGGGCCGCCCACGGGAGACACTCCTCCCCACAGCTCCCGGCGAGGCCCAAGCGGGGGCCTCCCATCACGCTTCCCCCCCCCCCCACACACACACACACATCCCACAGCCGAAGCGCCCGGCGGATGAAGCCACAACCCCCGCCGAGCGCCGGGAAGGGGGCCAGGGGCTGGTGCGGCCCCCCCCGGGGGACGCGGGGCTGAAGGAGGGGGGGGCGGCAGGAGCTGCCCGCCCCGCCGCAGCCGCCCCGGGCTGGCGCCGCGCTCAGCCGCAGCGCCGCGGAGGGCGCCGGTGGGGAGGCGGTGGAAGGGCGGGGCTTTCCCCCCTCACGGCCCGCCGCTATTGGCCGCCGCGCGGCGCTGCCTCCCCGCCATTGGTCCCTTCCGGCTGGCCTGCCGCCCTCCGATTGGCGGGCGCTCCCTTCCCCAACCTCCCCGCCTTCGGCTCGCGGACGGGGGCGCGAACGTGCCGGGCGGGCTGTTCCCTGGCCGGGGGGCGCGCGCGGCCGCCACGTGGGGAACTGCACGTAGTCAGGGCGGGCGGGGGGGGGGGGGTGGAGGGCACGCGCCGTTCCCGCCAGCGGCGCGGGGCGGGGGCGCACACACAGAAACACACGGAACGCGACGGGGACGTCAGTTGGCGGGAGGGGGACAGGGCGGGGGGGGGGGGGGGGGGGGGGGGGCGGTGCTGAGGGGTGGGGGGGCCGTGAGGGGAGATCATGAGGGGTGAGGGACGGCGGCTGTGTGGTGTGAGGGGTGGTCGTGAGGGGGGATCGTGAGGGGAGATGAGGGGCGACCAGGGGATGTGAGGGGTGGCTATGAAGGGGAATCGTGAGGGGAGATGAGAGGTAGCCATGAGAGGTGAGGGGCGACCATGGGATGTGAGGGGTGGCTATGAAGGGGAATCGTGAGGGGAGATGAGAGGTAGCCATGAGAGGTGAGGGGCGACCATGGGATGTGAGGGGTGGCTATGAAGGGGAATCGTGAGGGGAGATGAGAGGTGTCCATGAGAGGTGAGGGGCGACCATGGGATGTGAGGGGTGGCTATGAAGGGGAATCGTGAGGGGAGATGAGAGGTGTCCATGAGAGGTGAGGGGCGACCAGGGGATGTGAGGGGTGGCTATGAGGGGGGAACATAAGGGGTAGCCATGAGGGGTGAGGGATGGCAGCTATGCAGTGTGATGAGTGGCCGTGAGGGGAGATGACGGCCATGGGATGTGAATGGTGGCCATGAGGGGTGGTCATGAGGAGAGATGAGTGGTAGCTGTGAGGGGTGAGGAAACGGCAGCTGTGTGGTGTGAGGGGCTGCTATGGGGGGAGAGGAGGGGAAGCCGTGAGGGGTGAGAGATGGCAACTATGTGGTGGGAGGGGTGGCCATGGGGGGAGATGAGGGGTGGACATGAGGGGTGAAGGGTGGCCATGAGTGGAGGTCGTGAGGGGTGGCTATGAGGGTTAGGAGATGGCAGCTGTGCGGTGTGAGGGGCCACTACGCAGGGAGATGAGGGGGGGCAATGAAAGGAGATCATGGGGGGAGATGAGGGGTGGACATGAGGGGTGAAGGGTGGCCATGAGTGGAGGTCGTGAGGGGTGGCTATGAGGGTTAGGAGATGGCAGCTGTGCGGTGTGAGGGGCCACTACGCAGGGAGATGAGGGGGGGCAATGAAAGGAGATCATGGGGGGAGATGGGTGGCCATGAGGAGTGAGGGGCTACTCTGGGGTGGAAGATGAGGGGCAGCCATCAGTGGAGATGGTGAGGGGTGGCTGTGAGGGTTGAATGGCAGTGTCTATGAGGGGAGATGAAAAGTAGATTTGAGGGGTGGCCATGGGGGAGTGAGGGGCAGCCATGTGGAGAGAAGGGCAGCCATGAGGGGTGAGGCGCAATGGCCATGGGGTGTAAGGGGCTGCTCTGGGGGGAGATGAGGGGTTAGGAACCATGGCTGTGAGGGAAGGTGAAGGGTGACCATGGGGATATGAGGGGCCACCATGGCAGGAGATGAGGGGAGACTGAGGATTGAGGGGTGGCTGCCGTGCAGTGCGAGAAGCCACCTTGAGGGGAGATGAGGGGCAGCCATGGCAGCTTGTGAGGCCAGGGGAAGGTGACTGGCATCACCTCCCTCTGGGCTGAGGTGCTGCCACCACTGGCTCCTTCCCCCCACCGAGCAGCTGGTGCCCACTGCCCACGGGGGGTCCTGCCCCATTCCTCTCCCCCAGCTGCCACCTCCTGACCCCCAGGACTGGGGGCTGGCAGCCCTCGGCACGGGGCTGAGCATCGCTGGGCCAACCCACTGCCGGGGGAAGCCTCCACCAACACCAGTGGTGTGTGCAGTGCCCTCTCGGCCCCCCAGCCCAGCTGGTTTGAAATGTTTTCGCTCGCCTGTTGCAGCAACACGTCTCCACAGAGAAAGCTGCCTCCTGATGTGCATGAGATCGCCAGGCGAGGGATCTCGTAGGCACCTGCCCGCATCTGCACGTGCAATAACTCCCTTCTCATTTTAACAGGTGTGGAGGTGACTTAGAAATCCAAGTCTGAGGAGCTTGGGAGGAAATTTAGGAGCACTGCTGGAAGTAGAAGATTTTGGATTCTGTTTGGGTACTTTGGAGAAGGTACCTTATTTTTACTGGACAAAAAAAAAAAATACATATATATTGTTGAGAAATACTTAAGTCCTTATGCAGACAAGGCAGGTTCCATTCTTATACAACGAGTAGATGATAACCCCTTCCTGTCCTGACAATTTACCTTGGACAACCATAGTAAAATCCTGCCCCTGCGTTCTATATATTTAGTTGGTGGTAAAAATACACTTTTTTTTTTTTTTTTTTTTAAATCTGTCAATAGGCCTAGCATTCGTCTCCACTAGCTGACATACATTAAAACAAATCGCCTTGCCTGTGTGGAGTTTTTAAATGTGTTTGTCCAGATGGGCTGGTAGCGAGTGGCCCTTCTGACAGAGGGAAGGGATATCACGCTTTTTCTCCTGGTGGGTATAAGGCAGTGTTTGGTATTTGGGGGGTCCTGAGTAAACCCCAAGGCGTTGTGTTGGCCACTTCATTTCTACATCAGCTTTCCCATAACACGCTATAAAGGGCCAAACAGCAAAAGTCGGAATTTTTGTCACAGGGAACCCAGAAGCTGAGGCTTTGAGGGAGGAAATTCAGTGCCTGAAACCAAAATAAACCCGAAAGGGGCATCGCTGGTGTTAATTTAATTCTCCCTTATTGTTAAACAGACTCGATGAGACCAGTGAAGCTGCTTCAGCAGGATAAAACCCCTTGAGGTCTGTGGAGAGCTGCGGCAGGGACTGAGTCGGGGTCATCATAAAGTCCCCTCGAAGAGAAATTAGCGGTAGGGCCCGTTAAATGCAAAGCAAGAGGCTCCCGTGTCTGTGCCTCGGCGGGGTGGGGGGGAAGGACAGTGGGGTGACGGGGAGCCCCATCCCTTGGGCAGGAGGGTGCTGGGGGAGCCCTGCGGAGGCGAAAAGCCCCATAGACAAAAAATACATTTTTTTTTTTTTTTTTTTTTTAAAAAAGCGCCTTTCAGGCCAATACAGCTTAGTAAGCATTAAGAAATCGCATGAGCGCTGCCAGCCACTACGCCTGGCGTCTCCCCCCGCCACCACCCCCGCCGCTCGGGTAAACAGCGGAGCCCGGGGAGCTGCGGGGAGCCGGGGCGGGGGCCGCGGGGCTTTGCTCTCCCGGGCGGCTCGGGGTGGAGAGCGGAGGGGTGATGCCCCCGCCCGCCCCAAAAACTGGGCGGGCGGGGAGCGCCGGCATCCCCCGGGCCGGGGCCAGGGCGGCGCAGCCCGCCGGGGCCGGGGGCGTGAATTTAAAGGGAAGCGCGGAGCCAATGCGCAGGAAGGGGCCGAGCATGTGGGGAGGTTGTTTACATCAGCCCGGCCCCGGGAGCTTTAACCCGGCCGGCGGCGAGGCGCGGAGCGGGGCTCCCCGGACGCTGTGAGTAGCGGGGCGGCGGTGCCGGGTATCCCCCACCCTGCTCCCTCCCTTCCTTCTTTCCCTCCTTCCTCCCCGCCCGGCATCGCCAGGGAGAAAAAACGGGGAGGGGAAATAAAAAAAAAAAAGCCCTAAAATAATAATAATAAAAACCCCGCGCGCGGGAGCGGCGGTTCCCGCCCGCCCGGGCCGCGCCTCCCCCCGGCCCCGGCTCCTCCCCGCCCCGCCCGGCGGGGCTCCAGCCCGGGGCCGCCGCGTACGTGAGCCGGCCGCGGCGGGGACGGGGATTTCAAAACAAGCTGCGGCGGGGGAGGAGGGCGGGGGAAGGCGGGAGCCGCGCCGGAGGTAAGCGCCGAGCCGCGCTGGGCCCGCTCCCCTGCCGTGCGACTCCCGCTTTCCCGGGGAGGTGGCCGGGGGGGGATGGGGGGGGGGAGCCGGCTCTGCACCCTCTTCCCCAGCCCCTTTCGGGTCTCTGCCGTCCCCCGGTGCGCGCATCCCCCTCTCCCGAGCCGGGCCCGGTGCCTGTCCCTCCCCCCCCCTCGCCCCTCACTCTCGGTTCATGCACACACCCCTGCCCGGTGTCTGTGTGTCCCCGGTGTATGCAGCCCCCACCCCGGTGAGTGCCACACCCCCGGCCTGCCCGGTCCATGCACACCCCCCCTTCGTTCCAAGTCTTCCCCCCCCTCCTTCCCGTGCATGTCCCGCCCAACCGGGGCCTGTGCTCGGTGCATGCCCCCCCCCCCCCCGCCGCTCCCGGTGCCTGCCCCGCCCCCCGGCTTACCCGGTGCCTGTCTGTGTGTCCGTCCCCTCCCACCCCCCATGCATGTCCCCCTCCCGCCGCAACCCGCCCCACGCACACGTGCCCTGCCCGGTGCCGCCTTCCACGGCAGGCCCGGGCACACGCCTCCTCCTCCTCCTCCTCTGCCGCCGGCCCTGCCATCTTCCCCACGTGCCCTGCCAGCCCCCACGGCCGCGGGCCTTGCACACGCATGCACACACACGCATGCCATGCATGCCCTGTCTCCTGCTGCACTCTCGTCCCGCTGCTCACACCATGGCTTCAAGTCACGCTCGGCCGGCACCGCTCCCAGAAAGCAGCAAACTCCCGCCCTTTCCTTCCTGGCTGCCCTCGCTGCCGGCTCGCACCGGCCCACCGGTGCCTGGGGAAGTCACTGTGCCTGCTCCGGCATTCCTGCCTGCACCACAAAATGCGTTTTAGGCAGGCCGGCGGCCATCCGAAAGCATTTTCCTCCAGAATCGCCCGGCAGCAGCAAACTCTGGTGTGGGCGTGGGTTGGGGAGCCCTTCCTGGTGCTGCTGATGGGGATACGGTGCAGCCCCACGTTGACACGTCCACGGGTGTAACCCAAGCCGTGAGCACCAAGGCAGGATTAGGAGGAAACCCTTGGGGAAGGTGCCTGTTTTGTATTACTGTCTGTGAGGGTTAGGTCACGGGTAGGTTTGGCTCCATCCCGGGGTCAGTAGATCCTTGGTGCTCCTTTTTTTTTTTTTTTTTTAATAAAGGCCCAAACTTTGCAATCCGCTCCGTGCGGATATCTTGTTTCCCGGTCACGTGTGCCAATGGGCACAGGGCTGGAGTGCGGTTTGTAAAGGGCTTCGGGACATTTTGGGATGAGAAGGGGCTTTTTGGAAACGGCGGGCTGGGAGAGCAGACGAAAGACTGGGGTTTATTATCAGTTATTGCCACGTTTGGGGTCTCTTACAGGGTAGATTTTGTGGTCTGTGTTTCTGATCCATTGCATGGTGGTCTGTGGCAGGAGTTAGGCTGTGTTTGAGGGAACCTAGCAGCATTTCTTCCTAAAAAAACAGGGGAAATGGGGTGTGCTGTAATTGCACATTCTCTGGGAGGGGGATGTGTGCCTGCAGTCCTGGTCTGCACAGCACCATGGGTGCAGGGAGCTGTCTTTCTCCCGGCAAACCCCGGACAAACAGCAGCTGGGGTGAGCACCGGGGCACCCTCCCCGCTTTGCCACGGCTCCCCTCCCCGACCGTCCCTGCTTGCTAAACGAAGCGTTCCTCATTTGCCAAATGAGGCGCCTGCTTTCCCAGAACCTCCACCCGGGCTTTGCTCTGCCGGCAGCAGCGGCAACGCCGGTAGGCACAAGAGCTGATGTTTTTCCCCGGCGAGAGCTGGAAAAACGCCGTCCAAAATACACACCCGGCATTGAAGCAAGAAATAATTTGGGATCTGTGCCGGCTCTGACCCCTGCGGCGCGTGATTGCTAACAGCTGGGAGGGCTCGCGGCAGCAGCGTGGCCTCCCGGCTCCGCCTGCGCCGCTGACGCCCTCCCAACGCTCGCTCTTCTTTTTGCTTTGTGTTTTGGGGCGCGGGGGGGGAAGGATTTTTCAGCGTTGGTGTGTCACCCTCGGCTATGGGCCGAGCGCTGAAATGGAATCTGGCGTTCAACGGTCTGCTGGAAGCAGATGTGGCTCCGAAAACTGGATTTGGGCAGGGTTTTCCTTCCCTCTTCCCCCCCCCCCCCACACCCCGGACTGGAGGGGGGGGAAGGAAAGGAAAGGCAAAATGAAACCCCGAAGGAAATGAGAAGCAGCCTCCCACCTTCAGCGCTGCCCTCCCCGCACCTGGCCGCCGGCCAAGCGCTGCCTTGAAACCGGCGTGCGTCGGCCGTCGGGGAGGGAGGCGGAGGAGATTTCAGCGCCGTTTTCTACACGGCGGCGGCACCGACGTTGCCGCGTCGATTCCCTGAGCCCTCGGAGGGGCAGTTCCCAAATCCCGGAGCCTCGGCTATCAGGGAGTGAGGTTTTAAGGTGATGTGGGAGGAAATGTGGTCTGGTGGTTAACGCCCGCGGTGAGGTGGAGGGGCTTTGCTGCTGCTTCGCTCTGGGATTTGAGCCAAACCGCCGTGTCCCCCTCCACCAGCTGTTTTGATCTTCTTTTGGATGAGAAAGTCGCATGTGGGTTTATATAGGAGATTTGGGAGCAGAGCTGCTTGGTCACATCGCTTGTGTTCAGAAAACATGTTGCACTGTGGGGGGGGGAAAAAAAAAAAAAAAAAAAATTATCAGACAGAGTGGGCTCTGGAGCATCCCCCGGTGATGCCCGTATGCTGCAGAGTCCGGAGTGTTTCTCGGGCAGGGCGAGATAAGAGGGAAGCCAGGGGAGCGGCTCTGCTCGGCCGGCTGCCGCGGCCGCTTTGATCCTGCTCTGGAGGGAAGGTGGTGACGGCGGCCAAGTCCCGGTGCGCTGCGGGCCGGGCAGCCCTGGCGCAAGGTGCTCTCCTCGGCACTCCTCTATCCGCTTCGCACCCTATCCCGCTCTTCCTGCTCTATTCTTTATGGCTCCTAAATAGCTGTTAATTTTCTACTTGGGGCCGGCGGGATTTCGGGGGAAGGACAAAGTGAGCTTGAGTGCGTATGGTTATTCATAAAACCACTTGTAAATCTTGGGTGTCCTTTGAAGCAGGACGTGGTTTGGAGTAACCCTGGGGCGGCTGGAGGTTGAGAGGAGCGGTGAGCTCCCCTTGCCTTCCTCGGGAAATTTTTCTCATCCAAGATAGTGTGCAAGACAGCGCTGTATAAACCAGATGTCAAAAAAAAAAAACCAAACCCAAACTCAAAAAATAACGTGGCATCTGCCATGACAGCGACCCTGTGTGAGGAAGGGAGGGTCTGGATGTGAGCGCGTGGCGGTTCAGGATTAATCCCCCCTCTTGCACAAGCAGCAGCTCCTTGGACTTGGACTCTCTGTGGCCTGGGTTATGCTCCAGCCCAGACACCTGACAAACATCCGACAAACACCCGCAGCCCCTGGTCGTCTGGGTGACACTCACTGACAAGCCCAGGCAGGGTGACAGAGGTGACAGGTTTGTTGGCGGTGAGAAAGCACGTGACTTTTTCAGTGTACCCCAAGACATGGGGCAGCACGGAACCTCTTGCCTCCTCTCCCTCCTCCCAAACCCCAGGCGCTGTCACCCTTCGGCGTTGCCGCAGCGTGCATCCTCATGCTCCGTGCTCCTCGGGGAGAGGGTGTTGCGGCAGAGGAGACACTGGGAGGAGGATGGGACAGAGGAGGTCAGTGCGTGCTGCTGGAGCCATCATATTTATTTGGGCTGGATGCTCTGTCTGTCCCCATGCCTGGGTATCCCTTGCTTTGAAGGAAACCTATAAACCCTTTTTTCTTTTAAAACAGCAGTAAAATCTACAAACCCAAAGAAATGAGCCAGGCAAGCTGTTCTCTGAACAGGCTTGCTAGCAGAGCTGTACCGACACAAGAAAAAACAATGTCAGAGGAAAGGACAGTGGTTTTGGGGGCAAAAATAGGTTAAAGAGAGTTACAGAGAAGGAGTTCTGGATAAAAATGCTCCAAAATTTTCTTTTTGTAACAAAGCAGGTCAGGAGGATGCTCCCTGTTTGTTGCCAGACCGACCCTAGGAGGGCTGGGCATGAGATACAAGCTTGGAGAAACCTCTCCCAAAAGCACGAGAGCTCCCAAAAAGGGGAGCATTGGGGTGCTAGCTGAGAAGGGGCGCTGGCTTTTGCTGTCAGACAGCTCTCCTCTCCTGCTGGGTGCGGGCAGGGGAGTTGCAGCGCTGAGCTGGGCACGAGCCCAAGTCTCGAGGTCAAGGTTGAAGAACACAGACGGCGGGTTTCAGCGTGACAGGCGGGAATAGCCACAGTGGCCTTGGGAGTGGGCACCGGTGGTGGCTCGAGGAGGGGACGTGGGCTCCGAAGACTGTCCTGACTGCGTCTGTGGGTTTCCTTGGTGCTGGGCTCATCCCTTTTTTTTTTTTTTTTCCAGAAGGGTTTAGAAATGATGGTAAAGACAAGAGCTGCAGGGTGGGGAGAGCTCAGGCACACCGCTGTCCCCACATCTCCAGGGGTGGCTGGAGATACTGGTGCAGCAGAGAGCAGCTTTCTCAGCTCCCAGGGTGGCAGTGGAAGGGGAAGACACTGGTTGAACGTCGTGGTCCTGCACTGGAGGTAACACCCCCATGTCTTTCTCTTCCGCAGCGTGTCCGAGATGGCGAGCGTCCTGTCCAGGCGTCTGGGGAAGCGCTCCCTGCTAGGCACCCGCGTCTCTGCACCCAGCACCTTGGCCGACGGGGTGCTGGTGGCCACCCAAATCCCTGGCTTGCAGACCGACCTCGGTCAGGCATCTGCCCATGCGGCGCTGCGAGAGGACGGATCCTGCGCGCAGGCAGCGGAGGAGAGCAGCCAAGTACCCAGGTTCCCCGGCCACCGGCAGCTCTGTGCCGGGCAGCAGGTACGTAAGGAAGCTCTCGGTGTTCTTGGCTGGCGGGGTGCGCTCCAGTGGGTGGCTCTGGCAGGGAATAAAACTCCTGGGGCTCTCCTGCTGTAAGGTGCGGTGAGGATCTGTAATTACCAAGAACCGTTAATGGGTGTTGGCGTTAGTGTGCTTGGCCCCGGCTGTGCCTGATGGGTTTGGAGCATCGTGGCTCAAGTGGAGATCCTTCTCCTCCAGGAGACATCTCCAATCCTAGCCAGAAGTGGGTGTCCAGAGAAGACAGAAAGAATACCTGACGTTTCCCTCCAGTGTTTTCCCACTGAGGCTAAGGGAGGTGGTTTCTATACATTTAGTGACTCCCAGTGGACTTCTCTTCCATGAGCTTGTTCTGCTTCCCCATAACCCACGTTCACACCTGAAGGGAAGTGGCAAGGAGCCCCCCAGCACAGCCACACTGGCCATGAACCTCATGGCTCGGGCCTCAGAGCTCGATCTGCAGCAGCTTTTTGCTGCAGGGTTAAGGCTCAATGGTGTGGAAGAAGCTCTTGGGGACGAGTGAGGTGCGGTGGCTCATCCAGAAAGGACATCTAGTCCTGCTGGATCCCACCATTTCTAGTGCCCTGGGCTCCTGATGCTTTGCTGTGCCTTGGCCAGGGCACTGCCTGGGGCCCGGACCAGCACTCAGTCTCAGTCCTACGGGCACAGTTCCTGTTAGCACTTACTTGGCCAAGCAGCACTGCCTGAGGAGAGCCGTGAGCTGCTGACGTAGAGCCCATTTCTTGGCTGCTACCTGCAGAACTGTAAAACCTTTTCTGGGCAGAGCTTGTGAAATGGAGTGTAAATAAGGCCCCTGTTCGGTTTTCTGGCTCTTCCTGCCCTGTTTTTATTAACCACAGGACAGCGAGAGTTGTTTTCTCCTACATGCTCCGCTGTGGAGGACTTTGCTTGCTTGCTTTGCTGCTGGGAACAACATGAAAATAGCGATGGGGTGCCTTCACCTCCCAGTGACAGCCAGGATCTGCGCTGGGAGCCCTGCGAAGCTGAAGGAGATGTTGGCTCCTCATGCCATGTGCAGTTTGGGGGATGGCCCATGTAGTTCACGTGGAAGCCTCACTCCTTTTCAGAAAGAGAGGGTCAGGGTCTTCTGTGTCCTGATTCTTGCGCTGATCCCCTTAACTCTGGTTCCACCGTGGGTGGCTTTTTCCATCCCAGTGTTTCTGCTGGAGGTTCTACTTGTGATGGTATCGCAGGCTCCTCCCTGGTCAGGGTATGGGTCCGCGTGTCCATCCCATATTGTCTTTTTGGTGGTGACACCTGTAGCACTTCCATAAAGAGATGTTTTTCTTCTTATAAATAGCCGGGGACACACGTAGTGTCTTTTGACACAGATACATTTCCATTAACAGAAATAAGCTCATGGGTGATAGTGGTGGAAAACTGCCCCATCAGAAGGAGTTTGGGACTGTGCAGGAGAAGGTGAGGTTTGCACATCTCCTTCCCCTGCCTGAAGGAACTGGGGCTGGAGGAGCCAAGGGGTGAATTCAGGATCACTTTGTCCTGGAAAACTCCATTTCCTCCTCCCCCTCTGGCTTTTAATCCTTTTACCTACGTATTTTGCCAGCGTGTGCAATAATTGTGGGAGTCCTTGTAGCAGGATGACATGAGAACAAAGCCAAAGCAGACAAATTCATTGGAGAAAAGTCTACCCAAACTTATGACATTGAGAGAGGCGGCTGATTCCAGCTTGGCAAATCCCTCAGCGTGGGATTGCTGGAGCTGGGGAGCTTGTGCCTGGGAAAAGCAGATCTCTTGGTGGTGGGGCTGGGATGAACCTTGGCCACACCTTTGATTTGCCGTGATGACAGTCTGAAGTCCAAGCCTTTCAAGACAGGCTCTGCGTTTGTCCTAAAGCCACCTGTGGCCCCCTCCGCTGCGGGAGGAGGAGGAGGGAGGATCCTGTGACAGGCGAAGGCTTGCTTGTGCTGAAGCAGGCCATCCCCCGACAGCAGCGGGGTGGCGGGTGGCACCGACAAACCATGCCTCGTGCCGTTTTCAGGTCCTCGTCACCTACAATGGGCAGGAGTGCGCCGGCCTCGTGGAGCAGCACAACCCGCTGAGCGACAAGGTGAAGGTGCTGCTGCCGGAGCAGGGCTTGCAGGCGTGCTGGAGGGTGCAGGACGTGCGGCCGGCCACGCTCCAGCCCACAGCCCTGCCCACAGCCGGCGGTCCTGGCCCTGCTGAGGCGCTGCAGAGATCCGTATCCAGCAGTATCGATGTACCCAAAAGGTTCGTGCTGTTGCCTGGTGGCATCTCACTTGAGTGGGAGAGCGGCTCTTGGTGGCTCTGGCAGCGCTCGCTCCCGGTTTTACACCAGGAGAGCGGTGATGCTGGGGGTATATCTGCCTTCCCAACATGGGATTATCCAGAAGATGGTTAAATTTTAGGATTAAGGGGATTTTCAATTTTTCTTTTCCTCCAAATGAGGAGAAAACATCCTTCCCAGTGACTTAAAAATGACTTGAAGTCTATAGAGGGAGGTGGTGGGGGTGAACCTGAGCTGCTGCAGGTTGTGCTGCCCTTCGGATGCCTGGTGGCTCCCCGGCTTGTACCTGGGCTGTTTCTCTGTTCTTCCCTCTGCACGTTTCACACCTCTTCCCCCCGCCGTGCAGGAAAGCCGACGCCGCTGTGGAGATGGACGAGATGGTGGCAGCCATGGTGCTGACGAGCCTCTCCTGCAGCCCGGTGGTGCAGAGCCCTCCCACTGGCGAGAGCGGCATCCACCGTGAGTGTGCATTAAAAAAATATATATTAAAGAAAATCCATCTGAAATGCGAGATGTAGGGAAACGTGCCGTGCCCTTTGAATCTCAGTGCTTGGGCTCTTGTTGGCTGCCTGGTGCTGAATAGCTGCTGGCACGGGGACCACGCTGGGCTGGAGGTGGCCAGGGAGGGGCACCAGGGTCATGGCAGAGGCCACGGGTGCCGGCACCGGTTGGGGCCAGGCAGGCCGGGACACCCCTGGCAGCACGGTGGGGGTAACCCTGCTCTCTGCAGCCATCCCAGGGGGCCGGGGAGCCCTGCACTGGAGTCCCAGGCTGGGGAGCACTGCCCGGTCGCTCCTTTTTTTAGAGGCAGTTTCATTCCCGAGGAGTCAAATGCAGCCGGAGGGATAAAAATAGCTGCCCGGAGCCGTGGGAAATGTGCGTGCCCTGGTGCTGGCTGCTCGCCGTGTGCCGGCTGCGCCTGTGGGATTGCACTGGTGCCAAGGAAGATGGGGACGGGGCGGGAAAAAAAAAAAGGATAAATGGCCAATAATTGGAAGCTGGCGCTGAGCAAAGGTGCAAAGGCTACACCTTGCCAAGGTTTGTTTTTTTTTTTTAAATAAATAAATAGAGGGAAAGTGTTGGTGCGGGTTATGCAGCCTCAGGGCTGGTCTCTGCCGGGGGGGGTGACGGTGGCAGCATGTGTCCCCTCCCCGCAGCCTCACGGGCAGCGTGCGATCCCTGGAAGGAGAGCGGCGACGTCTCGGACAGCGGCAGCAGCACCACCAGCGGGCACTGGAGCGGGGGCAGCGACATCTCCACCCCTTCGCCCCCCCACCCCGCCGGCAGCCCCAAGTACTCCAGCGAGGCCCTGAGCTCCCCCCAGGCAGATGACGGCTTCGAGACTGACTCCGACCCCTTTCTCCTCGACGAACCCGCTCCACGCAAGAGAAAGGTATTGCTGCTGGCAGGGGGGTGGTCCCAGCACCGGTGGGGTGGCTTGAGCTGAGCTGGTGTCCTGCAGAGGGGACGCTGCCACCAGGCAGAGGGTGACACTGGCTGTCTCTCCACCAGAACTCAGTGAAGGTGATGTACAAGTGCCTGTGGCCGAGCTGCGGCAAGGTCCTGCGCTCCATCGTCGGCATCAAGCGGCATGTCAAGACCCAGCACCTTGGGTAAGGCAAAGATTTCACCTCCTCAATCCCTGCCCAACCCGAAGCTGCCTACCCTGCCACTGCGTAATTTGTAATTCCTGCAGCGAGTATCCCCAGTATCAGAGATACTGACCTCTCTGCACTGAGCTTGGCAGTTCTCAGCTAAGCAGTCCATGCCACCAAAGCCACTGTTGGATGTGTCCCCACCTTCAGGGTGCCCAGGGCTTTCCGGGAGGCACGGGAGCCCCATTTGGGCTTTGGGACTGCCTAGCTCGGGTGCATGTTTTGCAGCGGGGGAGCTGAGATTCCGCGTGAGCCCGGTTGGGTTTCGCAGGGGCTGGCAGCCCGAGAGCTGTGCCTGCTGCCGCGGCGGCTGGCTCCAGCTCAGCCGTTGGGGCTGACACAGACACCCACGTGCCCACCCAGTGGTGGCTGCCCCTTTGACAGTTTGCTTGTCCTGATCTCCTGCAAATTCCCCCCGAAATATGAAGTGGTGTGGGTGTGGGGATCAGCTGTGCTCTCCTACGGTGGCCCCATTGCATTTCTCACCCCAACCTTAGTTTTCATGTGCTTTGGTCTGTGTTTTTCCCGTATTTACTTTTCTCCTCCCCCCTTGCAAACACGAGTGCTCTGGGAAAGGCGAGGACAGAAGGGCTGCGATGCAGTGGGCAGCGCTGGACTGCCATCCAGTGCCGGATAAACGCACTGGGAAAATAATAAAAAAAACTCCAGAAGAGGCTGTTTCCTGCTGGGTGAACCGCAGGGCTTTGGTCACAGCTGTGCTAAACGAACTCAATTAGAAATGAGCACGGGATTTTTAGTGGTGCCTGGTCAACGTGCCGGTGTTTTTAGGCCCTGGAAGAGGTGTTGATCCTCCTTGGAAGCGCAAAGTGCTGCTGCAGAGACAGTGGCTGTTGCTGATCCCGGCCGACATGGTGCTGTGGAGCCTGGGAGCGAAGCTGCTCTGCCCCAGGGAAGTCAGAGGCCACTCACCTTGCCGGAAACAGGGCTGCCTTTTCACTGCTGTCCCCCTTTCCTCCCCGGCAGGGACAGCGCAGACTCTGACCAGCGGAAGCGGGAGGAGGATTTCTACTACACTGAAGTGCAGGTGAAGGAAGAGCCGGCACCAGAGGCAGCCGCCGCCGCCAGCCCCACGTCCGCATCCGCCCCCATCATCATCCAGCAAGCGCTGGCAAAGCCGGAGGCGTTACTGGTGGAACAGCCGGTGCTGGAGCCCGCCCTGGCCAGCAGTGCCCTGAGCCAGTCTGCCCCCAGCTCCTTCTGGCACATCCAGGCTGATCATGCCTACCAGGTGAGCTGGTGACATCTCCCAGGGATGGGGTCACCTCCCGAAATCTTGCCAAAGGGCAGGCTGGGATCCGGTTTGCTCCACAAGTCCCTGCTGCAGCGGGGACATTTAATCTGCACTGCAGCAGGGAGAGGTTTTGGTGCTGGTGTAGCACCATCCCCTGCCTGGCTGCCCTTCAGCCCTTGAGCAACCGGCTTCGTTAACACCTGGTGAAGGGGCTCAGGCCCGTTCCTGGGCTGCAGGGAGCTGATGGCCTCTACTCCCCTGCAGCTACCCTGTGCTGGTATGCAACACGCCCTTCTGTCGGCAGATAACCTGGGGCTGGAATGCAGCCACGCCGGATCCTGCACGTCTCCACTGCATGCTCGCCTGGGCACGGGCTTTTGACTCATGGGAAACCTGGGGACCCACAGCAGTGGCCCCGTGGGCAACCTGGGCCAGTGGCCCTTGTCTCATCGGGCTGCTTAAGAGCCGAGTGCTGTTCTGGAGCTGCAAGCTAGTGCAGGGATAGGGTATATAGATCCATAAGCTGCATGTATATCCATTCCCATCCCTGGGATCGGGTACGACGTCATGTAAAAGCAGAAAGCCTACATAAATAGGGGCAAAAATATATACGTATAGACCAGGATGGTGCACGTGGTTTAGTGAAGTGAAGAAGCTGCTGTGCCCCAGCGAAGGGAAGAGGTGCGTGCCTCCTGGAAAAGAGGTCTCACAGGGATTTCCCTCCCACCCCCAGTGCTCCCAGTTTGTGGGTACTCCAGGCTGGGAGGTAAATGCCTGTGGGGCAGCACGTGGGAATGGGGGGCCCCCGGGGCTAGTGCTGACCCCTCTTTTCCCCCCACAGGCGTTGCCCTCGATACAAATTCCAGTGTCCCCCCACATCTTCACCAGCATCAGCTGGGCCACTGCCACCTCGACCCTCCCGTCCCTGTCACCGGTGAGTCCCGCGTGTGTTTCCCCTTCGTCCTTTTGGGGTGCAGGGTTGGGCTGGGAGCTATGGGGACCTCATCTCTGCTTTCTCACTCCCCATTCTAAACACCCAGACCTGTGGGCTGGGGACATTCGCGTCTGCCGCTGCTCCATCGCAGCACCCGGGGCCCACCCAGGAGGGGGAACCGCGTTGTCCCACCTCCCCTTTGACACCCGATTCCCCGCAGGTGCGGAGCCGGTCGCTCAGCTTCAGCGAACCCCAGCCGCCGACGCCGATGCTCAAGTCCCACCTGATCGTCGCTTCGCCGCCCAGGGTGTCCATCGGCACCAGGTGAGGGTCCCGCCGGCCCGAGGGAGCAGAGGTGGAGCCGAGATGCGGCTCAGCCGTGGTCATGGGGCCTTAGATACATGGCTGAAATTCTGCAACGAGTGGATAAATGTTGTGGTTTGTTGTTTTTTTTTTGTTTTTTTTTTTTTTTTTTTCCCCCCCCTTTCACAGGAAAGTCCGTGGTGAAGCCAAAAAGTGCCGTAAGGTGTACGGCATCGAGCACCGGGACCAGTGGTGCACAGCCTGCCGGTGGAAAAAAGCCTGCCAGCGCTTCCTGGACTGAGCGCAGCACCGCGGTGCCGCGTCCCTCCCCTGCTCCTGCCCGGGGAGCACCGGAGTCCCTCACTGCTGCAACCAGGGACCTTGGAGGTACCTCCTGGGACCCCAGAAGACACCTCCAGAGCTGCGTGTAAATTCCTCCTTCTGTATATTGTACATCTGCTGGGTTTGCTCTTTTTTTTAAAAAAAAATTTCCAACTTTTTCTTTCTTTTTTTTAAAACCTGAAGAATATCTCCCTTTGTACGGTAAAAGCTGGGGCTGGGAGGGAAGGAAGCCAGTTCCTCAGGGTTCGGGGGAGGTTGGAGGCAATCTGGGGACCAAAGAGCTTCCTGCATTTCCCAGAGCAGCCCTAAAATCTCCCGAACTGTCGCGGCGTGACTGGGGTGAAGCGTTGAGGCAGCTTCCCGTGACCTTTTGACTACCTAAAAAGTGCAAATCCCTCGAACCCTTTAAGGGAGAGGGTCCGTAACAATTATAGCTTTAAAAAAGAAAACGCTGTTGGGTTGCTGCAAGCAAGGCAGGAGCGGTTCTTGGGGCAGGAGCCAGAAGTTTCTCTCTCCGTGTGGATGTGGTCTTTGCTCAGGTCACGTCACACCCGTAGCTCAAGCCCACACGTGTCTCCAGTCAGTTCCAGCGTGTTGTTTTTGGAGGCATTTGGGGGGAAACCTCCCCTCTCCCCCCAAACATTTTAATCAGGAAAACACTGAGAATATTTAAGGCAAAAGCTGGTGTTTCTTCTCATTTTAGGCTTTGTAAGTCTGCTTAGCTCCGTGAAAAATCTGTGTTGTGGCCCTCGCCGTGTCTTTCAAAACTAGGCTGAGCAATTTTTATTTTTTCTAATTAATGATTCCACCAGTAAAGGCAGCTGGGGGGAATCGGGAAGGGCTTTCCCTTAGCATCACCATATGGCCCCAATTCAGCAAAACACTTCAACATTTGCTTTGAATCCCGTTGAGCCTGGAGGGGAGTCAGTTTTCTGACTTCCATCCTTTAAAAGATATATTTACCCAACCTGACTTGCTGCTGGTTTCCCATCGCTGCCACAGCTCTCCCACCTACACCAGCATTGCTGGTGCATCAGGCTGGGATGTGTGTGGCTGAGGGAGCTGCGTTGCCCCATCAGCTTTTTTAGGATTTTTTTTTTTTTTAACAGGATTTGTATTATTTTTTTTCTCTGCGTTTTTGATAATCATAGGCTGTAACCCACAGCTGTCAAGCCGAGAGCGATCCCTGCACACGGCTTGTGCCCGGGGTGCTTCTAAGGACCCTCCTTATAAAGGAGGTTTTAAGGACTCTCCTTATAAAAGCAAATTAAGTGGCTGGGAGGGTGTGGTATTGCTCCGGATCGCTGCGAGCCCTCTTGTTGAAGAGTCAGGTGGGCAGGCGAAGCGGGTTGAGATACTTATATATGTGTTACTGGTGCTTGTCGACGCATTTGGGTATTTTTGTTGCCGTTCACTTGCAATTCTATAGGTATGAACAGTATATTGTCCTGCAACCTGATATTCCCTCCAGTATCGAACGAACCGCTGCAAAATTTGGCTGCTGGAAAGCAGGAGCAGAGCTCCCCAGGCGGGGTGCGACCCCGCGGGGTTACATCCCAGGTGGGTCTGGGCAGGTCCGGCTTAAATCCCGGGAAGAGGAGAGGTTTTGCTCCCTGAGAGCCTCTGGCTCTGGCTCCCATCCCTGCCGGGGCCCAGTGTGAGCAGCAAAAGGGCAGGAAAAGCCTTTTCCTCTCCCGCCAACATCGGAGACTTTGCAGGTTCCCAGGTTGAGCGTTTTATTACAAAAACAACTTTCCAAAGCGCGTTGCAGGTTGGTGCTCTGCATCCGCAGCCCTGTAGCGATTAATTGCGTGGTGGTGGTGTTGCACTCCTCAAAAATAGTTTTGTTTTTTTGTTTGTTTTTTTTTTTTTTTTTATTAAGAAAGCCCTCACGCCTTTGCTGCTGATTGACCTCCAGCATTACCCATCCTGCGTGGCCCTGCGGAGCTCAGCCCATTCATCCTTCTGGGGAAGCGCCTGACAGCATTTTCAGGGATGCTGCTGGCTCTCCGTAAGCAAGCCGGCGCTTTGGGAAGTCCCACACAGCACCTAGCTGCATTTTAATTTTTCGAATTTTATTTTCTTTTTGTTTAAAAAAAAAAAACAAACAAAAACAAACACCAGGGCTCGAAGCAGCAGCCAGAGCACAGGGGGGAAAAAAAAAAAAAAAGAAACAAAAAACCAAAAGGGGGTGAATTTGTCCTTTCCTCAGACCTTGTGCCTTTGCCCCCATGACTCAGAGAGACCCAGGCAGGACTGGAAATTTTTTACTTCTTGCTTTTTATGCCCTTTCTGCCCCAAAAGGCATCAGGCTCTGCCCGGGCACAGCTCAGCTCCCAGCTCTGTCACTCAGGAAATACCAAACCAAGCCATCTGGGGTTGGCGGCGGGGTGCAGTGTCACCCCAGCCCCAGGAGGGGGTTCACCATCCCCTCCCCTCCCCAAAACCGGGGTGTAGTACAGGGCACCCCCCGTCCTTCCCAGCGCAGATCTGCCTCAGCAATCAGGTTTTTCACTGGTGGGAGCTCAGGTGTCTGAAAAATAAAGCAAAAATAACTTTCTGCTTTTCTGTTAAAGATGCTTTTTTAAGAAAAGAATATATATATATATATATAGGAAGAAAAAGGCATCAATGGCTTTAGAACAAGCAGGCATAGCACTTACTGCCAGGGGTGTTTCTGGGGGGCTGTACAGCTGCTTTTCGCAGGGTTTTTGCGGTACGGACTGAACAGGACAAAATTGTCCTCGTGCTCGTGGCTCTTTTCTGTTTATTTTTTAGTTTTAAGGGAGAAGCTGGTGCAGGGTGGGTTGTTTTTTATGTTTTTCCTTCTTGGTTTGGGAGCATTTTGGAATTTTTACACTTGCAAACAGAAAAAACTCCTCGTATTTTTGCAGAAACGACAGCAGGCTTCCACCCTGTCTATTGGCTTGGTTGGCATTGGATATATAATTTTTATTTTTCGCCCTTTTCCCTATTATTTCTCTTTCCTGTTATTTTTTAACTCACTTCCAGCCACCTCCCGACCATTGGACTTTTCCTCCCGACACTTGAGTCTCGCTGGTCTCAAGAAAAACTCCTCTTCGGCCCCAACCGCGGGTAACCCCGACCTGTAAATCCAGCTTGGAGAGTTTCCCCTCATCCATCCGGCTGTCTCCCGGAGCGTGTATATGTATGTATATAGGAACCTCTTAATTGGGCACTAATTAATTGGAGGCTGCTCCCCCCCCCCCCACCTCTCCAGCCGGGACACTCACCCCACTGCTGGTGGGACCCCGAAGCGCGTCGCTTTAGCGCAGGGTGACCCCACATCAGTGGGAGATTTTGGGGGGGTGTCACGGGGCGGGGGGGGGGGTTGGGGACATTTGGCGCTGTGGCCGTGCCCCAGGGGGCCACCGGCCAAGGAGGGATGATGCCGTATCGAGTCAATTTTCTGTCGTCTTGGAGCTTTTCTCAGCTGTCTTCCAAGTATTATTTTTATTGTTTAAAAAAAAAAAAAAAAAAAAAAAGAAGGGGGGGGGGTTGGCAAAAAGTTTAAAAAAAAAAAAAAATGTGAAATGTAATTTTTACAGCAGCAATATGAAATATATTTTATAAGAAATAAAAAGAAAAGTTGCCTGGTAGCTCGCTGGCTTCGCCTTGTCCTTGTAGCCTGTGGCGTGGGGGGGGCCCTCCCCCCCGTGTCCCCCCGCCTGTGTCCCCGGTACAGGGCGGGGGGCATCGACCCCGAGGTGCTTCCCCCGCCCCGGCTCAGGGAGCCCCTTGGCACAACCATTTCTAGCACCACTAGATAGCAGTGTCTGCCCAGTACTGGGAGCCCCAGTCCCTCCCTCCGCAGCAGGTGCTGCCCATCCTTTTTTTTTTTTTTTTATTGCCCCCCCCCCCCCCCAAAAAAATTTTGAATTCACCAAATTTTTAACCTGAAAGCTTCAGGGAGGAGTTCATAGGTGCTAAACCCTGCGGGTTTTTAATCACAGTGGGGGGCTTGGGAGGGCTGCAGGCTTTGCCTTGCTGGGAGTGGAGCTGAGAAGTTGCATTTTTTTACAGAAAAAAAAAAAAGAAATGGTTAATTTTATATATATATATTTTTTTTATATGTGTATTGAGGTGAACTGGAAAAGGAAAAAAAGGGGAGAAGAGAGAGGGAAATGGGGACGCAGAGGGGAGTGATCCCTCCCCTGCAGGAGAAAAGAAAGGGGAAAAAAAAATAAACTATTAAAAATTAGATCCCAGGAACACCAAATTGATGTAATTCCTACAATTTCTGCAGGGTTATGGCTGAGCCCGACCCGTCCCCACGTGCCGCGGGCGGAACCAGCTCTCCCGCCGGCCAAGCTCTTCCCCAATTAATTTTTTAATTGACAACCCCTCTCTTTATTGTTTGTCAAAAAAAAAAAAATAAAAATAAAAAACAAGTGTGAGGAATGGCCTCTCTGCCCGGAGCTGGTTCGGCACCTGGTGCCCATCGTTAACCAGTTTGCAAACTGGGACCCCCCCGGGGCGGGGCCACCCTGTGCCCCTCTGCCCAAAATAGCACCGGGGGGGGGGGGGGGGCTCCGAGGAGAGGTGAGCCCCCCAAGGCTCCGGGGGGGGGGCTGCAGGGTCTGGGCCTGATGGAGCTGGGCAGAGATTCCCCTTCTCTCCCTTAAACCCTCAAATCCCGTTTTTTTTCCCCCAAATAACCCCCCTGCTCCATCCCAATTTTTGGCAGTGCCGTGGGGCTGCCCTCCCTGCAGCTCTGCAACAGCCCACGCAGGGGGTGGATTACTCCCATCCCCAAAGCCCCCCCTGCTCTGGATATAATGCAAATTTACAAAAATCTCTTTTTTTTCCCCCCTAAAACTAAACTGTTGGATCCCCCCTGATGGGGGGGGGGGGGGGCAGCAGGGACCCCCCTCTGCAAGCATTGACCCAAGTGACGGTTGCCAGTCGCAATAATATCGTAGAAACAGTAAACTAATTTATTAATCCTTTTGCTATGTACAAGTTTAATGGAGAAATCTTTGTATGAAACAATTAAAAAGAACAAGATTTTGGAATTTTTTTTTTCTATTTTTTTTTCTTTTTTCCATAGGGGTTATTATATTATTATTAATTTTATTTTATTTTTTTCTTTTTTATACAAACAGTGAAGGGCAGCGCTGCGGGTGAGACCCGGGCGAAGAAGTCGCTCCTGGGATATGCTTTTTTTTTTTTTTTTTTTTAATTTTTTTTGGGGGGGTGGGGGATAGCAAATTAGGCAGGAAAATCAACCGTTATCCCATTATCCTCCTGGGAGCGACACGGAAAAATCCGCATCCCGGTGCAGGGACTGGGACGCGATGCATGCCGGGGTGAGGGGGGGACGCGAGGAAAATGCGCGTGGTTTGTATTGCTGAGCAAAGAAGTCAACCCCGGAGGCGTTAAAAAACTTGAAGGAAAACACTTTTATAAAAAAAAAAAAAAAAAAAAAAGGAAAAATAATAATTAAAAAAAAAAAATAAGGGGGGGGCGGGAAATGAAAAATAATTATTTCCAGGTGGTTTGTGGGGATGGAGCCACAGTGGGATGTGACCCCTCCGAAATGTTGGAAATAAATCCTGTGGGAAGCCGGATTCCGCGGCCGGGGAAGGCGCTGGGGCTGGATTCCCGCTGGCTCTAAGGCGGCTTGTTCACAGTGCCCAACCCGCCCCCCCCTAAAATTAAAAAAAAAAAAAAAAAAAAAAATCCAATTTTTTTTCAAAAATTCCTTATTTTGTTTAGATTTCCCCACTGTCCTCTCCCCCCCCATCCGCAGCATCGCGCTCCCGTCGCCGGAGGAGGCCGAAATTCGTCGGGTCTTGGTTTAAATCTGGCTTTAGTGAGTGAAGAGCAAAGTGATTTCTGAACGCGTGCAAGTCTGAAGCGCTTTGGGGTCCGTCAGAGAGAGGATGGAGGCGGCTGGGGCGGACAGGAGCAGGGTTAATTTTGCCTGTGCCTGGCGGAAGGTGCTGGGATGCGGTGCCGGAACGCTATAAAAAAATCAAAATAAAAAAAATAGAGGAAAGAAAAAGAAAAGAAAAAAAAAAAAAAAAAAAGAAGAAAATAAAGAGGAAAAAAAAAAAAAAGAATAAAACAAAGAGAAAAAAAAAAAAGAGGAAAAAATAAGAAAAAAAAAAAAGAAATTAAAAAGGAAAAAAAATAGCAGCTGAGCCAAGAGCGGAGGGAGCGGGGGGCTCTCTCCCAGGGGTGTGGGGCTGGGGGTGCATCCCCTAATTTAGGGAGGTGCCACCCGGGGATCCAAAAAAAAAAAAAAAGGAAAAAGAACTAAAAAAAAGGGGAAAAAAGTTTAAAATTCTCCCAAATTGTACCTTTGAGGGGTTGGGGGGTGGGTGGTCTCAGCAGCTGCGGGGGAGAGGGGCTGGGCGCTCCGAGCGTCCCGGGGGCGGCAGCGCGGGGTTAACCCCCTGCTCCATGCGGAGCTGGAGCGGTTTGGGGAGGAATTATTTAATTTCTGAAAGGAAAAGGTTCTCTTTGTTTCAATTTATTGTTATTTATTGGCATCTACCATCATTTATTGTCATTTATTGTAATTTTTTAATTTTAAATTTTAAAAATGTCTTTTTTTTTTTTTTTTTTTTCCTTAAATTTTCTTTATTTTATTTTTTTTTTTCCGCTTTTTGGGAGGGGGCTGAACCATCCTTCAAACCTATTTGGTGTCGAGGACAACACCCCTTTCCTTTGCCCACCCTCCCCGGCGGGGGCGGGGGGGACACCGAAGGGGCACCCTCCGGATGCTGACGGCTGCCCTCACCATCCCTCCCCGCTCTCTAATTCGGCATTTTTTCCTCAAGCCATTTCCAAATTTATTTTTAATTTTTTTTTTTTTTTTTTTTTTTTTAACACCACCCCCCCCGTTTTTTTTTAATTTGCACCTATGGACATGTGGTGTAGAAGGGGTAGAGGGTTGACTTTTTTGGCCATGGCGGACCTAGCCGGGCGGCGCCGGGGTCTCCGTTAGATCTCGTTGTGCTCGCTGATGCCGCCGGCAATGTCGTACTCACTGGAGCGGGGCGACATGCCCAGGTACTGCTTCAGGAACTCGCTAAACCTCTTCTGGTTGTTCCACTTCCTCGCCGACTTGCGGACCCCGATGAAGCCCCCGTATCGCTTCTGCACCCCCCTGGCCGTCGGCGCCGGCCTGGAACCGCGCGTCCCCCGCGGGAAACCGCCCAGCCGTCGGGAAATGTCCTCGGGTGGCTGCGGGAAGGCGCCCGGCGCCTCTTCGACGCCTTCGTCTTCGGTTGCCCCCGGCCGCAGCACCTCGCTTACCTGCAGCGGGTTCGCCCCCACCGCGCCGGGCCACGGATCGCCGGCGGCCTGGAGGTCGCGGGGCCGCGGGGCGGCTCGGCCGGCAGCAGCGCACAGCTCCCAGGTGGCCCGCGGCACGGCTTCGCCTTCGCACTCCAGGATGCAGACCTGAGCGGGAGACACCGGGGATGGGCGTCAGGTGGGTTTCGGGGACATCCCCCCCCCTCCCCGCCCCCTAAATGCCGGGTGCTCGGGCGTTCCCCCCTCGGTTGCCCCTTCCAGCCCGTCCGGCGTTGGAAGACACCCGCGGAAAGGTGCCGGCAGCTCGGCAGCCCTTGCCTGGCCTCATTCGGTTGAGGTGTCCCCTCCCAAAACCCGTCCCTGGCTTTCCAGATGTGGCGGCAGGTGGTGAAGATGCTGGGGAGCCGTGGCAGCTGCTCAGCATCCCTCTCCCAACCCTCCCCAGCCAGGCTCTGCTCTGTGCAGGACACGGTCCGCGCTTTCCCGTTGATGTCCATGCTCCCACCCCACCGCCCCGTGCTCTGCACCGCTGCGTCCTTCAGCCCGGCGTGAGCCCAAAAAATCACCAAGTCACGGGACAGCGGAGGTGGGACAGCACCTCTGGCATGTGCTCATGGCATGTCCTGGGGCCTGGGGTTGTTCCTCCCCAGGGGCAGGACTTTGCTCTTCTCCTCCTTGAACTTCATGAGGTTCCTACCGGCCCATTTCTTCAGCCTGGCAAGGTTCCTCTGGATGGCAGCATGACCCCGTGGTCTGCCACCCACGCCTTCCAACTCTGCATCATCTGCTAATTGCTGAAGGTGCATCTGCCACATCATCCCGGTCATTAACGAAGATGTCAAGGTCCTCCAGGTTTCAGTCCACCTCACTGCCCATTTATCTACCCTGTGCTTCAGCAGCTTGTCTACGAGGATGTCATGGGAGACAATGTCAAAGCCTGGCGAAAGTCAAGACAAGCTGGTTCTCTTAGTGAGAAAGCTATCAGGTTGGTCAAGCGTGATTTCCCCTTCATAAATCCATGCTGGCTGCTCCCGATGACCTTCTTGTCCTTGGTACGTTTGGAAATGCTGTGCAGGATGACGCGTTCCACCACCTTCCCGAGAACTGAGGTGAGGCCAACCGGCCCATAGCTTCCCAGCTTCATGCCTTCATCAAAAGCAGGCGTGACATCTGCCTCCTCCCAGCCCCCCAGGAACCCACCCCCAGCTCTACGGCCCTTCGAAGGCCATCAAGAGCAGCCTCGTCGAGAGGTGCCATTGGGCTTCCTCGGCACCCATGCGTGCATCCCACCACGTTTGTGTCTCATCCTTTTCCAAGAGGCCTCGTCCCCCAAGGCAAGACTCAGCCCCAGAACTGCTGCAAGGTGATAACCCCGGTGGGCTGGTGCCACCAAAACCAGCACGCAGGGGAAACCATCCACGAGAATATCGTAGATGAAGCAAACTAAATAAATGCCGAAAGAAACCAGGGCTGGAGGCCCCAGAAGGGAAGGGTTGTCTTCCCTCTCTTTGGTGTGTCTTCATCCCGGTGTTATCTTCATGCTGGGCTCTTTTAAATGCTCAACACCAACTGGGGAACCCCAAGTTGAAGCACATCAGCATGTCTCATTGCTACTAAGACCCCTGCAAAGACCCTCTTCACCATTGGCTCGTTAACTTCACCAGGGGAGAGATGCTACAAGTCCCAGCGTGGTGTCTCAGGGCTTCAGCTCAAGCACGTGGCTCTGCAGCAGCTGGTTATTTCCAGCCCCAAGGACAGCCAGGCTCTTCAGACAAGAAGTCAAAATAAAAATAGTTGTCCCAAAGTGAGGTGGTGACGAGGGTCTCGTGTACCAGGACACCTACAACGTCCTTGTGGAGACACCGGGGGTATCGTGCGCCAAGCCAAGGTCCTGTCCTGGGATCTCCAAGGCTTTGGCAAGGTCTACGGCTGATGGAGAGTGTCCTGAGAGTGCCCTGTGTTGGAGATAAAAGGTGGTGGATCACATGCAGGGAACAGCTCCGATGAGTACCTGCTAACAAGCTTCAAGAGAAATTACCCCAGGTATCATCAGCCTGAAGACCATCAGTGGTTCTGTCAGTCATCCACAAAAACAACCCCATGAACACCCCAGGCTCCTCAGCCATCGTGCTGTGGTCTTAATTCACGTGGAAATGGCTTCTGCTCACGGTGTTTTGGGAGTCCTCCGCAATCACCAGCCAATGCTGCTCCGCGTCCGGTGCCAAAACTACCTGGGGAGGCTCCTTCTGATCTTCGGTTGGCATTAACGGTGCCACCGTGGGTTTGCACCGTCCCTAGATGGCTCTGGAGACGAGGATGTAGGTGATTCATCCACCCCTTGAAGACCAAGCTCCATCAGCTGGTCCCTGTCCTGTCCTGGCATGCCTGTAACTTCAGGGGGATCTCCTATTTCTATCTCTGAAGGATGGATCAGCCACGTCGCTGATGGAACTTCCTTGGCTGTTGCTTTGGAAATGGTGGGAGGTTGTATCAAGTCCCACCTCGATGCTTCTTCCAGCTGAAACTGAGCCTTGAAAGACCCCGGGTTCTTCTGCTCCTGGTTCAAACCACTCTTGCTTTGAGATATGACCCTGCACGGGACCCATGAGCCACCAACCAGCCCATCGCCTCTCCATCTTGCTGTCCGGGGAAGACAGGGCAAAATGGAGCTCCACAAGCAGGACCCTGGAGAGACTTTGGTGCCTTCAGACTGCAAAACAACGTTCTGGGACAAAACCAGGGCGATTGCACCCCAAAACTCGGTGGCAGCGATGCACGATGGCAGGAGGTTTTGCCAGCAAAGGGGTGGCACTGGGATGGCTCCAGCAACTCCGCGCTGCCCTGGAAGTTGTTGGTCCCCCTCCCTGGATCTGGGGGGACATTTCCCAACCCTGGGGGCTTCCCGAGCTGCCGGCTCCTTTCGAGTGGACGTCTCAACCCGCCGTGATTTATCATTGCTAATAAATAGGGGGGGGGAGGCGATGGATAATCCCCCGGGGGCAGAGAGGGAACAGGAGGAAAAGAAATGCTGCTGGCTGGGGCACAGCCACGGCTCAGTGAAGGGTAAAAAAAAAAAGTATTAAGGGCTGGAAAAAAAAAACCCCAAACTGCTACTTAATGGCTCTTTCCATCCAATGTTGGAAGCAAATCAAGACAGTGAGAGGGGCTATGGGGTGCCCGGTGCCCGTTCCTCCAAAACACCGTATCACCAGCCGTCTGCAAAGCTGGTCCCATCCTGATGGGGCTCAGAGGGGGATTTTGGTGGCTCCTTGGAGGATGGGGTGGGGGTCTGGGGAGGGTCCAGGGTTGGCATGGGTGGGAACAGCGATGTTGCAAGCCATGGGGGGGCAGGAAAGCTGGGGATGCTTGGGGTCTTGGGACCCTCCTTGGGCCATCGCAGCCTTGTCCCCATCACTCTGAGCAGCCGATTCGGGGTCCGTATCCTCCCTCGGGATCATCTTGCCCCGACGGTGTCCCTGGGGGGGGGTGTGCCCAAAGAGGAGGGACAGCGGGTGGCAGCTTCCCCTTGAGATTTGGCACCGACCCCCACCTCCTCAGACCCCAAACCCCAACCCCTGCACAAGGAAGAGGGTACCCATGCGGTGGGGGGGGGGGGGGGGGGGGGGGGGGGCCTGCAGCTGGCACAGCACCCATAGGTGCTACCCCTCCCCACCCCCCCAACCCCCTCCCCCAGGGGTGCTGCCCGTGGCGGGGGGACGAGCCGGCAGGCAGAGGGACTTACGAGGACGTCGAAGCTGTCGCGGTAGAGGTGGCGGTCGCAGCGCAGGCAGTCCCCCCGGCAGTCGCCCCGCGCCCGGGCGAAGAGGCAGAGCAGCAGCAGGTCCCAGAGCACAGCCCTCATGGCGGCACCGGCAGCGGCTGCGGCGCGGGAGAGACAAAAACCCGTCAAGCCGGGATGGCACCGGCACCGCCGAGCCCTGCACCTGCACCGAAATGTGCCCGTTCTCAGCCTGTCCTCCCTCACCCCCCCACCCCTACCCCGGCCCCCGCCCGGACACGCCGTGTTCCCGATCTTCCTGCCAAAATTATCCTTTTCGGGAAAGGAGCCTGTCTGCCTCCTCACCCCCAAAACAGATCGGGCATGCCCCCGGCTTAATTTTTTCCAGGCTATCTCATGGCACGAGTCCCAGCTGGGGCTTATTTTAGCAGGTGGACATGGCAGGGCAGCACGTCGCCAGCTGTCCCCTGAGCAGGACGCTCCTTATCTGAGCATCACTGGAATTGGGAGGATGTCCTGCTCTGGTTTTCCTTCCTGGCTGTTTTTGGGGTGCTGTCTCACCCCTGTCCCTATCTTGGGAGGGTTCAGCCATCGGTGCCAGCCGGGATTGCCAGGATCTGAGCCCGCCCAGCACGGAGCAGCAAAGCCAATTCCCAAAGAAACCCCCGTGTCCCATCTGGCTTTGCCACCATCAGCGACGAGCGGTGATTAAGTGACATGACCAAGGCCACGCGCTTCCCACCCAGCTCCGGGAGGTTTAGCTTGATGCGTCCCCGTGGCCATCTGCAAAGAGGAGGGTTGGTCTTCCTGAGCCTCCCCCTCACCCTCATCCTGCCGGGAAAAGGGACCTGACGTCACCGTGGTCCTTGGGTCCCAGTGTTGCACAGCACCAAGTTTGTAAGCCAGCAAGGGGATGAGATGGAGGTGATGGAGAGGAGCAGGATGGGGCCGTGAAGGTTGGTGCTACCCTTTGGGGCACCAAGGTCCCTCCATGCCAGAGCAGCATCCAGAAACGCCTGGACTGCGATACTCAGAGGCAAGGAAGAAGACGGTGACGGTGGCTTTGCAACCCGCACGTTGCTCCAGCAGCGTTTCAGGCTGTTTTTGCGGGGGGGTTTGAGCACTTGGGCAGGAGGTCCCCAATTATTTCCCACCCCACCAAGGTGGGGGGACACCCCTGCTCCTTGCAACGGAGGCAGAGCATCTGTTGGGGTCCCCGACCAGCATCGCGGTCACCTTTTGTCCCTGCCAGCTGGGCGGTGACACATAGCCTGGCGGCTCCCAGTTGTCATTTGCTGGAGGGTACGAGGGGAAGCTGATAAGGAGCAGGAATTAGGGCTTAATCTTCATCGAGTCTCATTAAAATTGGCTGGCAGTGTGACTCAGAGGCTTGGCAGAACGCTCTGGGGATGGGGCAGCCGCCCCCCCCCCCCCCCCCCCAAAAAAAAAAAAAAGAATAACTCAGCCCCAAATGGGGTTCAGCAGAGCCAGGGAGGGGGCTGCAACACCCCCAGCCCTGTCCCCATGTCCCCAAGAGACATCAAGTGCAACGTCCTGGGAAAAGCAGCCACATCTGGCTGCAGAAGAGGCTCCGAGATTACGGCTCGGCTTTTCTTCCCCGTTAATTGAAAGATGCTATCGGGCAGGCGGGATGCGGTACCCTGCCAGCACCGCCGGCCGGGCCAGGGCTGGGAAAGAGGGAAACAACCCCCCCTTTGCACATCAGAGCCCTCCGAAAAATTAAGTCAGGCCATTAAAAGGGAAGGACCGAGTGCGGTAGATTTTTTTCTTGCTTCTGCCCGTGGGTGTTCGGCGCGAGGGGGGGTGCCAGGGTTGTGGGGTAGTGATGGCACGAAGCTCCTTTATGAGTTTCGCAGCCACAGACCCACGAGAAAGAGAGGGATGCGTTTTTTTCCTGTTTTTCCCTTTTTTTCACCATTTTTTTCCCCCCCCCAGTTTTTCCCATTTGTTCATATTTTTTTCACCCGGGAAAACTGAGCCTGGACCCTATTTCCTAAGGGATGCACTGTCCAGTCCCACTGCCCTTGCGCCTGGAGATGCCATCGACCCTGACAAAGGATGTGACAGCTCTGGCGTCATACCACAGTCACCCCTGCAGCTCCTTGGACGCCGAGGCTGCTCCTGGGCAGGAACCTTCCTCTTCCTCCCCGAAAAATAAACCTACCCATCCCGGGGAGGGGGGGGTGTGTCAGGATACGGCCACTCCATCCCGCAAAACAGCTTTGGGACCCCCGCGCTGCTATGGGCTGCCCTAAGGGTGCATCCTCCGGAGTTTTCAATCCAGCTGAATTACCCTCATTAATATTTGGGGGAAAAAAAAAAAAAAAAGGAAAAAAGGAGGTTTTTCTAGATATTCAGCCTGCGGTTCAGATAACAGCGGGGTCTGGTTATCCGTCAGGACGAGCGGCTTTTATTTATTGCTCCGGGTGGGATGATGTGGAAGATGCAGCCGTATAAAAGGGCTGATTTGGGGGGCAGTGGGAAGGATGTGGGACCTGAATAACCCGAGGAGAAGAGGTGGAAGGGGCAGCAGGTGCTTGCTGAGATGGGTTTTATTCGCTTGATTTGATGCAATTTGGGTTGGGAGCTCGCGGGCAGCGCCGGGGAGATGCTGCCTGCCTCTCCCCGGGGATGCTCCATCCCCTCTTCCCATGGGAGACGCTAACGGCGGGGATTCTCCCGGCAGCAGGATCGCTGTCCTTCCCCAAACACCTTCACAAGGGTTTAAACCCAGCGATGCTCCCGCTTTCCCAGGTCAGGATCAGTCCCGCCACGTGAGAAGCACATTCAAGAGCTCCTCGTTTCCCACGCCCGGAGCAAAACCAGCCCAAATTATTTTTTTTCCCTGCTAATTCCCCCCACTGCCCAAAGCCAAGGCCTGATCCAGAGGCCAAGAGAGACACGACCGGGCAGGATCCAGCCCCGCTAGGAGCCAGCATTGAAGGAGTCAAAGCTTTTTCCAGTCGAAAAAGCGCAATATTGTCCAACAGTGTCCCCCACTGGCACCGGCTAAAACACTTTCCTGGCTCCCCCAAACCCTGGCGATGTCGCACGGCTTTTGTGCCGGTGGCTTTCGGGGGCATTTTAGGGAGAACCGGAGGGATTTGGGAAGGGAGGGAGGGGGGGGGTTGGCTACAGATGCCCGGCGCTCAGCAGAAAAATAAACCTTTCCTTTTGTCGGTCCCCCTCAATCAGGTAATTGGCCATAATTGGCCAAAATTAGACGCCGCGGCGCGACTATAAACACAGATGTGGGCTCAAGAGACTGAGAAAGGCTGTTTAGAGGTAAAAAAAGCTCAGGAAGAACAGTTCTCCCCACGTCCCCATGTCTCAGCCATTCATTCCTGCTTTTTGGGGGGGACTAGAACAAATCAAAACAACAAAACCCCCCTTCATTTTCCTCCTTTTTGAGCTTTTTGGAAAGGAAAAAGGAATTGTTCACAAGCCGGGGATTTCCCGGAGCATCCTGCGGTGACTCCAGTGAAGTCCTGGCTAGAAGAATAAGGGGCAGAAATTCTGAACGGGGAAAGTCGTGGCACAGCGGGTCTCTCCCCCCCCCCAAAAAAATCCCCTAAAAAATCCCTCCCATCCCAGAGGAACCCACCGTCACCCCACGGGCTTCCCCCCGGCTTCGCGCAGGCGGCCCGCGCCGACTCTTGTTGCATCCCTCCGGCTCCACTCCGGTTGATTTTGGGGCCGGATGATGAAACCGAAACTTTTCCTCTCTTGGGATAGCAGGGATAGCTTTCTCCCTCCAGGAAGATATTTCTTTTAACCCTTAGCAGGGAGGGGAATATCTATGGGTGGATAGAAGCCGGACGGACCATTCTCGGACTGAAAAAAAACAAAAAAAAAAACAGCCAAGCCCCCCTAGGATGGAAAATTAAAGCGGATTTCCTACCTGCGGGTGTGCTGTTGGCTGCCGGCTCCTCTGATCTGTGACTCCTCCGGCGCCTGTACCACGGTGGTATATATAGACGGTGTACACACGCATCCCCACACCTCCCTCCCCGAACACGTGCGTCGCTGAGCCCACCCCCGGGGGCTGCCGGCGGAGGGATGCGCCAGCCGGCAGCTGGGGACTGGGGATGTGCATCCTTCCCCCCTCTCCTGTGTCCCTCATCCCTTCCTCCTCCTCTTCCCCAAATCTGGGGGGGGGGGGGGGGGGGGGGGTGTGGGGGTGGCAGCCCCGAAAGAAGCGAGGGGTGCCGGCCTCGTGGTTAGCCCAAGGCGCCGTGTCTCCAAGCATCCCGGGGACGGTGGGGTTGGGATGGAGGCCGGGGAGGGGGGGTTGTGAAACCGCTGCTCGATGGCCCCAATGTACCCTGGGGGGGGGCGGGTTACAAGGACCTGAAGGCACCAACAGCTGGGTGAACCCCAAAATAAGCCCCCCTCTCCCCCCCCAGAGCAGCCCCCAGCCCTTCCTGGGGGGCTCTTTTCCCCGCTCAGACCCCAGGAGGAGGTGAAGGGGGAGCCCCCAACCCCGTTACCAACCCTCTCCAGCACGGCTGCGGCAACACCGCGCGGCTATTGAGCGCGTCGTGCATCGATGGCAAGCGTGCGGGTGGGAATAATTGATTTTGGGCTCAGCGGATGATGGAGGGGAAGGGGGGGGGAGCAGAAAATTCCAACTTTACATTTCACGGCTGATGGAAGAGCCCAGCGAGCCAGACGCAGCCGCGTGCCGGCACCTCACGAAGCGGAGAGGCGGATTTGGCCGCTCCGGCATCGGGGATTGATGCTGCCTTTGGTTTGCAAAGGCCAAATCGGTCTTGACCTTCAACGGTTTCTCCTCCCAACCAGCATCACCCCATTTTTTTTTTTTTTTTTTTTTCCCCCACTTAGGTGGCCTGCAGCAGTAATGCTCATCCCCGCCGGCGCGGAGCCAGGACCCCCCCCAAGCATCTCTCCCTGCCCCACCTCGGCAATTAAATAATAAAATCTGCCGCGGCGCTGTGATCCTATCTTGGTAATTTCTTGTAATGACTCCCTAGGAAGGGCTGGAGATCGGAGCAAAACGCCTTTCAGTTCGGCTACAGCTATTAAAATAGTTGCATTTAATGCCCCCCAGGTGAGACCTCGGATGCGCCGGTGTTTGGGGAGGCGTAAAAAAAAAAAAAACAACAATCTAGAAATTGATGGAAATGCCCCAAAGTGGTGAAATGACATCGTAGGAGTGGTTGGAGGGGATCTGCCCGGTGCTGGGGGTAAGATGCGAGCCTGGATTTGAGGTGGTTTAGGGGAAAATAGGGCTGGTGAGCAACACTCTGCCAGCCCCATGGGCAGCCTGAGGCAAAGTGGTTCCCCATCACGATCCCAGGCAAGTGCTGGAGAAAGGGACGCTGATTCTTTTTAGCATATTTTATATTTCTTTTTAATTTTTTATAATGTTATATATATATATATATATATATTGCTTCAGTCTTTTCTTAACCACTCAGTTTTTCATTAAGGACATATTCCCTGGCTCTTACGCAAAGCTGAGCAGCAGCTGAGCTGAAGTGAGAAGGCTTCATGCCTCTTTTGTCCTCTCCCAGGGTAATTTTAAAAGCTTTCGGGGCTGCCATTCCCTCCACAGCCCCCCAGAATATTAATTTCTTGGTGTTTATTGAAGCGCTGTAACGTTTTCTCCCCTAACCTGGCCGAGGGGGATTGCCTCGGTGGCCCCTCGTTTGAGCTGGCGATGATGATGCTATTGAGCTGGCAGGAGCAGGAGGC